TTTACAGAGTAAGCCTGAATAATAATCATAATATGTAATTCAGTTACAAACAAATGCTCTTTTCTGCTACAGCTCCTCCCAAGCATATAGAGTAAGCAACCATAATACAGCAATTACCCAAATAAGAAAATACAAATTCTAGGAAATGTATGTATTATAGGGCTTCCTCTGACAATCATAGTATTGATTTAAAATAAATAAATGAATAAACATTAGGAGACACAATACTAACAAAAAGTTAAAAGCTTCAAATAATCCCAAATAAATATTTAGTAAACAAATCCTGTATAGCTAACATAGTAAAAAGGCTATATAAAAATGCCCTATAAGAGTAAAAAGAAATCAGAGAAAAAAATGAATGCCAAATGACATCTTAATACCACTGAAAGAAATTCCACAGGCAGATCAAAGTTTAAACAGAAATTTTATACTAATCATAGATGAATCTATTTCATCTACCACACAAATCACACTCCTCTAGTTCATTCATTCATTCAACAAATTTTGAATGCCTGCTATGTATTAGGTACTACTCTACTTGGGATATAGCAAGTCAGACATTTCTTCCTTTCGTAGCGCTTCTTTCCAGTAGGAAATCGTCAAATACGTTAAGTGAGAAAAGCAAATTGCAAAACTACAAGTAATTCAATAATGATCCAGTAATAATAACAATAATTTTATGATAGCCACAGTAAAATATCTGGAGGATCAAACCAAATCTATTGGGGGTGGTATCAAGGAGAACTTTCATAAACTGTATTACGTAGCTCTATAATTTTAAAAACGTTTATAATAAGCATTGCTTACTTTTGTAATCTAAGTAACAAAGATTATCTAAAAAATACTTATATAGGAAAATTATCATAAAGAAACACAAAAACATTAACAGTAATATTTCTGAGACAGAAGCTGCGGGTGTTAATGCTGTTCTTTTTTTTTGTAGTTCCAAATCTATACAGGGATAGTATGTTAACTTTTTTCTAGTTATAAAAGTATCTTAAAAATCAAGTTCTTGACTCATTTTTGACAGTGTTTTGAAAACATAAGTTCCACTGTATTGTTTTTCCTAACCACTGAAATTGTCTCTACCTAAACATCAAATAGGAGAAAACAAGATTACAGTCTAAGTAAGTACACTGCCACAAATAGGGAAGATCCAAATACTAGGAAGTATGGGCAGGGTATTCTGGTAAAAACATTTTGAAATAATTTCTCCTTTTGAGTTCTTTATTTCTCAAGTCTTAATCTGCTTTTTCTATAGTATAATACATAACACTGCTTTTACATAGTAATAATTCAATAAATAAAATGTTGATTTGTAGTCTCCTGCTCCCCAACCCTCTTCAATCCAGAGTTAATAAAACTGTTACATTTAACAACAACAACAAACAAATACCTTAACTTTTACCAGTCTTTTCACAGTCTTAATCTTTGCCTCACAGAAGGCACCTCGGTACTTGGCACTGACATCAGTTCCCACTGTCAGGTAGGCAGGCTCATCCGCCGCCTGATGAAAGGATCACAAAATTTAAACGTCACTACTAGTTTTCCTACTTCAGCCTCAAGACTCATTCAAAGGGTCTATATTTAAAATAAAAAAAATGCTAAAATTATTTGCTTATTAACATCATTAATAATTTGAAAACTACCCTTAAAGCCAACACTTTATTCAACAGTCCTTCTTTTTATATACTGCTGTTCTTATCCAACATGGAATGTTTCATAGTTGTAATTGCAAAGTATCAGTAAGGAAATACAACAATAATTTTTTTTATAGATATAAAACAGTTCAATAGTTCTACAATTTACACAAGAAATAGAAAAACAAGAAAAAGGAGGAAAAGTACATTCATTTGAACTTTCTCATAAAATTTTAAGGCATTCATGGCCTCCTCAAAATGCTGTCTTCAAATCAAAAGAAATATTGCTATTAAAATTAATATTAACAACATGCAATCAAAGGTTTATTAACACAGCTACATAAAGGCTACATCTTAGATACAGTGTAACTATATAGATAAGAAATGAAGACAACCTGCTTGATAAGGAGAGTATTATTTGGAAAATTCTTTTGTTGAAAGGTGCATATGATAGGTTTATGTCTGAATACAGCTGATGAATGCAGAGATGTAAACCGATGTCTCAAGACCTGTAGCTCTATCTAGCTTACTGCTCTGGTAGTCTTGGTAATAAAAATAAGCTTCACTAAGAAATGTCTAAGGCCATGATTAGAATGATACATTGAAAGATGTAAGAAATTTTATTCTATTAATTTTAATCCTGGCAGTAATAAAATGATTGCTATCTCTGTCATTTCATCTGTTTTTCCTAAAGGTAAGTGTAGTCACACAAATTCAAATTCAACATTGCTAAGTGCAAAGGTAACACTGTACACTTTAGAGACATTTTTAAGTTAAAAAAAAAAAAGATTTTTCATTTTCCCAAGTCACATTAAAGTTTAGACGTGTCACTTAGTGCAAGAAGACAGGAAAGGAAAAGTAAGTTTTAGAAAAATGCTATATATACATTTCAGAGCGTAATACACTGAAACAGTAAACGAGTTAGGAATCCGATAACCTTTTAAAGTTAGTGGATTTACAAAGAATGCAAAGTGAAGAGGAATGCTTTCCACAAATAAATATCCAACCTGAAACATTCTGTGCCACAGCACTCCAGAATGTTAGGATACCTTCCCGTTTAAATATCATATAGTGATGTTTGCAAGATTAGTTATCTTAAGAAGAATATTTTTTTTAGGTTAGATATATGCTAAAAAAAATTACTATAAAAATTGGACTAAAATTATTATGACTTTTAGTTCAACTTCAGATATTTCAACCCAGAATTTCACTTTATTCCCAGAAGAAATATATCCCTTACTCAATCCATATATTCTTTCTCTTAGCAAATTGCACTGGCACAGGGGGAAAAAAAAAAATTTCAAAAAATCCCCCAAGGCACCCAAGCAGGACAAAAGCTTTACTTCTGCGACGGTTGCTGCCAACACAGGAAGTGTTTAAAAATACTAGCCCAATGGACAATTGAAAGGTTGCACCAGCCTTTCCAAAGTGCTAACTGCTTCAGAGAGGGGCTGAACCGGCTGCATTTACATACACTGATCATTTCTCACCCATTCAACACGTCTTCATTTTCACTGAGTGCTGCTTAGTAGAGAAATCAATTTTGAGGAGCAAAAAAATGACATTCCACGGCACAAGCCTCACGACAGGCAGTGGCCAGGGACATCTCGAGGTCCAGAGCAGCGTTGATTCTACTTACCTTCATTTTTATTGGTGATCTGTGGGGTTCCAGCTCAACGACCTATCTTCACTGTCGCTAGAACCATGGGGAGGGAAAGACAGGCACAGAATCAGCCAACAGCGGGGAGCGACCCAGGGAAAGAAAGTAAACAAACGCCAGCGGGGAGGGGCAGAAGCCTCACCAGGGAAGGGATAAGATACCCTCGGAGGGCAGCCAGGACGCAGGGGCAGAGGGGCGGCAAGAACCTCAGAGGCGCCAAAGGGCAGCCCGTTCCGCCCCGGAGTTCGCCAGCGGCCCACCGCGCCCCCACCTCGCTTGCCACTTTGACTGGGAATGCTCAACTCGGAGCCCCAAGACGGGTCGCGCTGGAAAAGGGCAGGGCGCGTTTCGGGTTCCCACAGCCCACCAGACGGGCGGTCGCCGAGCCTCCTCTCAGCCGCCCCCCGGATACTCCCGACTTAGGCCCGCGACCCGCCTCCGCCGCTCGGCCCCCTCAGCCCGCCCCGGGCCCGCGGTGGAGGCAGCTGAGTGTCACGGCGCCATTGCTCTCCTTCCTTCACTCTGCACCATGTCAGGAAAGAGAAGCGCTTCTTCACCCCTAAGGGGCAGGGGCCGCGGCCTTCAGCCCGGAGCCGGGAGAGTAAGGGGAGCTCTGCGAGGAGGAGGGGGCGGGGGGGGGCGGAGAGGAGAAGGGGAGGTGGCCGGGACAGGGTGTGGGAGGGGAGGGGAGCCGCACAGCAGCAGCCACCGCCTCCTCCCCGCGGCCGCCTCAACTTTTTGTACAGCTCAGAGAAGCACCAGCCCCCAGCCCTTCTGGTCCTGCCACGGACTCTACCGAAGAGGACGCACCGCGGAGTTGGGGACCGGCTCCCCAGAGCAGCCCGCTCCTCACCGCGCGGAAGCAAACTTAGCGGCGCGGCCAGCCCCACAGCCATTTTCCCGGGGAACCCGGGGAGGCGGCCGAAGAGGCGGCTGCAGCAGCAGTTCCTGCAGTTGCTGCCGCTGCTCCACGACTTGCCCCTTCCCCAGCACTCGCTGCGCCGCTTGCCTGGCACCCCCCTCCCCACCTCCAAAGCTTCCAACTGCACCAGGACCCCGGGTAGCAGCACCAGCTGCTACTGCCGCTTCGTCCATTCAGTATCCCTCGCTTCCCTTCTCCGCACCTACCAACTGCGGGTGAAGTGCGCGCTGTCAGCTCCCCAGTCCTCTCGCCCGCTGACGCCCGCGGGCCCCTGTCCGGGCAGCACCACTCCCGGCCGCGGCAGCAGTTCCTGCGCCCGGTCCCCCACTCGCCCGATTTACTGCCACAATCCACCAAATAACAAGCTGTTGAGCAGACTCGCTTCTACACGAACTCCTATTGGCTGCTCATGACGCCGAAGAGCTTCGGATTGGAGCTCGCTAGCTGCGGTCCTGATTGGATGTAGCTCTGAAACTTCACGGATTGGTGCGAAAAACAGCAAGGTAGGACATCTTCCACTTATGATTGGCCGTATTCGAATGCCAGTGCTATTGGAGGGTAAGGTATTGAGTAAGCAAGTCCTGAGAAATGATTGGTAAAAACGACTCCGGATGTGCTTGGCTGAGCACTGATTGGTGAATTGAGGGGTCAGGAAGAGCAGTTCGGCACGAGGATTGGCGGCGAAGTGTCCCATGGAAACAGAACCCAGAGCAGCGGCCAGGGGATTGCACGGGGGCGGGGCAGAGTCTTTCTAAGGCGCCTGCGCTAAGCCGGCTTCTCGGCGCCATTTTGTCTCGGCAGCAGGGGCTACGGCTCTATCACATTTTATGTTTTTGGCGAGAAGGGAGCGGAGTCTCAATCCGGTAGATTTATTTGAGTGTGGAACCCATTCACCGTTCTCTCCACGACACCACTTAGTAAATGTTGGAGGAGTCACAGACCCGTCAAAAAGGTCAGTTGGAGGCGATGGTTGTCTGCCTGACTGGGGCATGGCGCAGCTTTAGCGGCACCGGAAGTGGAGGGGCAGCTCGGCAGCCATGGCAAAGTAAATTCTCTCTGCAGTGGGGTAGGGAGGGGGGAGCGGGATGAAAGGGGGCGAGGCTTCCTCTCCCGCCGATAGAGAAAGAGGCGGAGGAGATGTGCACGTCTCTTTCTGGGTGGTGATCTCGAGAGTGTGAGAGGTTTTCTTGAATTTGCTCTTCTTCTAGCAGTCCTTCGTTCGTTTAGAATTGAGTTTGGGAACTTGACATATTCTCCAGCCGAGTGTCACCGGCTGTGGGGGCCACTTTATGACGGAAAAGGAATGGTTCTTACTCAGACGCATCCTGCGTGGGGAGAGGGTGTTTCCGCGTGTTCCTCTTGCAACAAAGCTGTGAGGAAACTGAGGAATGCGCTAGGTATCCAGATGCTGAGGAATTTGCTTGCCAGCACTGACGCTGCTACTGTGACCTTGGGCAAGCGGCTGTGCTACAGCAGTGATTCTGTAGAGTCTAAAAACACCTTATATAAAAGGACCTCGCTGATAGGAATAGATTAGGACAGCCATCGGTATTCTCTTAGCAAAATCCTCTGTTGGATGAAACAAAAACTTAGAGATTTTAGATGGTGGCACTGGAGTATTCTTTGAAGAGTAATTTTTAAAGACTCATAGTAAGAAATGTGAAATATTGTCGATAATCCCTATGGACTAATTTTATTCAACAAGGGAACTTAAAGCTGAGTCCTTTTATTCATAGCAGTGATTTTTCTCAAGATTCTTAAGAAAATGAAATGTATGTCAGTATTTTCTATCGAGTGACCTGGTCACACATCGCCAGATGGTTTAAATTATTTTTATATTACCTGTGTTTTAAGCCCTATTGCTGTATTGGGGCTCAAGACTAAAAAATGCTTGAGTGACTTAATTTACTGTTTCTTTTTGGCAGTTGTGCTGAGGAAAATACAGGACATGTCAATGACACATAATCAGATATTACTGAGGTGAGTCCTAATATCTGTACAAATCTTTAGAACTGGAGAGACCCACCTGGAAAAGTTTTCTGTGAAACACTGGAGGAAAGCCATAAATGAGAAGTTGGAAGAATAGTAGCTGAAAGATGTTTTCTTTGGTAAAGCATGCAAATGAGCTACCTGATTTGATAGTTTAGGGTGAAACTCAAAAATTAGGTCAGCCCTATGTATTTCTTTACCCATTTGGGTAGTTTTCATCTCTGGATTTTTAAGTATTTAATGTTTGCATCATGAAACACTACCGTTTCATGATTTTTTTCCTTTGTGTAAAAAACTATATGAAGACAATCTTGTCTGTATGTATTTAGAGGTGATTTTTTTTTTTTTTTAAGGAAATGGTAAAACAATATAATACTTCTGAATTTCCCAGTGGGTAATCACCTATAATTTCACTACTGAACTTTAAATAATTATTATAAAAAAGCTAAAGGAAGAAAACAAAAATCTCTTACTTCCTGTACCAAAAGGTAATCACAGTTTATACTGTACTGATAGGGGGATTTCTGGTTTGTTTTGTTTCACAGTCTAGTTCTGTAGTTTGTCAGTCATATTTTTTCTCTTTATGGAAAACGTCAGGCACATTGGGAATATTGTCCATGAAGCATCTTTCGTGGCAGTCTAATGTTGTTATATAGGCTAGATATATCATAATTTATATAATCTGTCTTAGTTTTACTAAAGAGCGGTACTGTGTCACTGGAAGTCCTTGTACATGTTTTGCAAAATATTTTGCCCACGGATTGACATCAGTGACTAAAACCTCTAGTCGTCTAGATGTTCTTTTACATCCCTGATTATTTCTTCGGAGTAAATTCCTAAAAGTGGAAATATAAGGTCAAAAGTATTGTACATATAAGGCTTTTGATACTTGTGTAATTGTCTGTTAGAAAGCTTTTGCTCCTGTTGCACTTACCTTTGTTATCCTGCTCCTTTTTACTACTTTTTTCCTCTGATTTTCTATTTTTCTTAACTTCATTTTTTTTTAGAGTCAAAATTTAATAGAGCAGCAGCAGCAACATAAAACATATACAAGTAGAAAAATAATTACAGTACAAATAACCCTGAGAATCAGAAAGGTTGGCATTCTGTACAGCATTTTGCTGACCACTTTTGACTTGAAGTTGTTGTTCAGATCAGCAGCCTGAAAGGATTTTGCAGTTTCTCAGTTTCTATTCCTTATTTTAAATATTTCTGTTTCTCATAATTAAAATTTGGTACCAGACCAGTTGCTGTGGATCCTGGCTCATGGTGATCCATGTGTATCAGATTAGAGCTGAGCTCCATAGGGTTTTCAATGGCTGATTTTTCAGCAGTTATCTTCACTTTATTTTTAAACTTTGTCTCCTGGATCTCTGTTTACTTATGACAAGAGCTCATCATCAAATAGAATTATCGCAATCTTTAAGTTACATATAAATTTCAGAATTTTTCTTAGGCCTTAGGAATGATTTCTTCAACTGTTTTTCTCTGTTAGGTGCTTCTGAAGTGGATCTTTAGGATAGTTGAGCATTTGTACAGTGAAACATTTTGCTACAACAGAAGTGACATTTAGAAGATACTGAAAACAAACAGATTACTCTTATGGTATGGTTAGTTGAGTTTAACTACTTTATGTTTCTGTCTAGCCTTGTCTAAAGTTCCTCATTCTTAGGTGCATTCCCTCAGCACTTGTGTCGTGAGACCATTTGCACGCCTCTCTGATCACACATAAGTTGGAATTGTTTGACTCTTTTCCCTTTTAAGAGACTACTTCCAGAGGGCAGCAACTATTTTCATCGTTATGTTCCCTTAGTTGGGACATGTTAGGTGCTCTGTAAATATTTCTTATGAATGTGTGCATATTTGTATGCAAACTATGTGAAATAAACTAGTTTTCTTTTATAGGAATTCTTTTCTGAGAATTAATGATACTGCACAAGTGCTGTCTGAACCTTCAGATTTTCATTTTTAACATTCCAAATATTGATTTAATGCTGAACTGATTTTCAGTTGCTAACAAAACGTAGAACCCATTAAAAATATATCAAAGTAGTAACTCGAAATTTTTTTTTATTTCTCAATCCTTTTTTTTTAAGAATTTTATGACATTTTATTTGGAAGTAATTGTAGATGAATACTAACTGAACAGCTAGTTGTTGTTAGCTGCTGTCAGGTTGATTCCAACTCATGGCAACCCCATATGTGCACATTAGAACTGCTCCATAGGGTTTTCAAGCCTGTGACCTTTCGGAAACAGATTGTCAGGCCTATCTCTCGAGTCACCTCGTGTGGGTTAGAACTGCCAAACTTTTGGCTAGTAGTCAGGTGCCACCCAGGGACTCCTGAACAGCCAGTAGACCATGGTATGAATGAAAGAAAATAAATTATGATAGAATTGTTTTTATGTAACATATTTGAATGAGCCCAGGCTGAGAATAAGTGTTCTTAAAGTTCTGTAATGGTTTTACGGGTGATTATAGATTTTTCCTGCAATATCAAAATTGTCAGTTTTTTAATAATGTTTCTATCGTGTAAAGCTATTTTGAAATCAGGATTAGACTCCAAAGTTCTGCGTTCTGCAGTGTGTGGACTATAACATACTCTAAAAGAAGTCTTTGTCTTTTAGAGTACACCTGGTTTTTGTGGAAAAATGAAGCATGGATTTCCAGTTTTAAAGACCTGAATTCTGCTGTCTGGTGTTGAAAATTCTGTTCCCGGTGTGTAATTTTATTTAACTATCTTTTAGTAATCAAGATTGGTTATGCTGTTATATATGTATGACTCTTTTGAAAAAGAATTTATTCCACCGTGCAGTTATTTTTGTAAACTTCGGTATATTGTTGAGAAGCAGAACTGATTGCTGTGTTGAGTGTAGCTGCTTTCCTAATGATATAGTTATGTTTTGGGAAATTACATAATTTACTCATTTGTAACCAAAGGAAACTTTATGGCTGCATGGATTTGATTTTGAAGATTTAATCAGGACTCATAATGATAAGTAGATTTGTCAAAGTTCAGTATACAGTCAGATCTAGAGATTTTTAAGAGACAAATTGCTATAAAAGGTAGAACAGAAATAAATTTTTTTAGTCGTGAAAGCTCTTCAAGGTTAATGAGATGCAAGCTAGAAAATTAGGAGAAAAGAAGGCATTCTAATTGGATGGAAGATTTTGGGCAAAAATGCTATTATATAAAGCAACATATGTCTGGGACAGTGTGAGTGAGTTTGGAGATGATGACTGGCTGAAGATTATGTTGAGAAAAAGTGTGTGGGGCCATCTTGTCAACATTTATAGGGTTACCTGTACATCAGAATCATATGGGGTGCTTGTCTTCTATCCATGTTCGGGAACCTCTAGAGGGCTTTGAAAGCTGGATTGTGAGCAGAAAGCGAAGATTTTCTATGTTTTGTTTTATTTTCAGATTTTACAAATAATAATGGAAGTTAAAAACAAAAAAAAATTACTTTTAACCTACCCTAATACTAGTTTTATAAATTCTGTTCTTCCTCGTCTGTATGCATATTCTTTTTTAAGTTAGAGTAATTTTCTTTTTTATTTGTTTCTTTAACGTTGTAAGAAGCATCAGTGTGACTGCACAGTCTACATATAAATTTCAGTGGTTGAAAATCTTCCTTCAGGCTATTTTTAACTCTTTTTCTGTTGATTGACCCTTTTAAGTTTCTAATCCTTCAGTGTTGTGCTACAATTGTCAACTCTGTACATAAGTATTTTCCATGATTTGGACTGTTTTTTAGGATCAATTTAAGGGTCATTGTATGAAGATTTTTATGACTTAAAACATTGCCATGTTGTTTTTGAAAAGGGTTACAGTAATTTACACTGTCACTCTCACTATGAGTTTAGTTTGCCACACCCTCATTAGCATCAGGTAGTCTATAATTATATTTGTTTTTACTAATTTAATAGGTGCAAAAAATGCTTCCCCCCCTTGTTAATGAGTGAGATGGGACTTTTTTACTGTATTTCACTTAATAATTCTTCTATTAGTCTGTATTTCTGTTATTTATCTATTAGAGTCTGAATGTTTTATTCCTTAACTGTTTTATTACATAATACTTAGTAGTAATTTGCTGCAGATATTTTTTCCATATAGATTTCCTTTTGATTTTAGTAACTTTTGTTGAGATTTTTTGGATAGACAGAGGGATATGATGTGCACAAATTTAGTGCTGGAAAATTGTTCGGAAAGAATGTCCAGTATGGCTAAAGGGGAGACAAGATGCCCTTGCAGTGGTGTCAGCATGAGGTGAAATTAGAGTAGGACCTGGAGGCAAAGGAAAGAACAGGTGAGCAAGAAAAAAGAGCTAACTGGATTTAATCAATCTTTGACTGAATACAGGAACAAAGAAGAAAGAAAACAAAAGAAACAGTGTCAAGATTTCAGAGTAGGGAACAAACAGTACCATTAACTGATTTGAAAAGTCAGAAGAGACCGCTGGTTGGTGAGGAAGATGAAATTTGTTTTCAACATGCAAGTTAGAGCTTTAAATGTCCAGTAGTAAGCGTCTATTCTACTTTTTCTCAAATTACTTATGGGGCCCCTAATTGGGGGCAAGATATTATGCTGAATCTTATATTGTTTTCACATTTTGACTTAATTCCATTTTTCTGTTAGACTTAGGTATTTTTATCAGAGCTTTCTTATTTCTGATTTTTAAAGTACAACTTTTATTAAAAAGAAAAGTTAAAGTGGATTAATAAATTTAGTGCAGAAAAGCCAGATAATTCTCAAACTAAATTAAGGAGAGGTTAGTTTTTCAACACTGAGAAAATATAGTTCTAAGAGAGCATTTTACAAAATATATGCGTGTTTTAAAACAAACTTGTGGGGTGAAATATCTTCCCTCTTCCTAAGTGGACTTCTTTCTATGTGTTTAGTTTTAGTTTGATTTTAATAGACTATAAAGAGATAACAGATGTACGTGGGCCATAAATGTTTTAGCCAAGATACTTTAATATCTGAAATCTAAGTAAAGATGTTGTCTTGTTTTTAGAAATCACTTTATTTCAACAGATAAAATAATATTCAGTTTAAGAAAGGACTTTAAGAGTTAGAAATGTCAAAACAGGGAATAGGCTAACTTCTGTGTTTTTCAGGAAGAGCTTACTTTCAGCAGTTAACTTCTATGGTCTCCACACCCCTTTTTTTCCCTAAGGCATTAAAATTGTTTTCTACTGTTACAGCAAGGAAAAAGTTGTGATTTTGTTTTAGAAAAAAGCAAATCTTTTAAATGATCAGTTAGGTATCAGTCACAACTTTAAATATTTTTTCCTTTTTTTTTTTATTCATTTTTTTAATCTGTTTTTGTAAAGCCTAACCTTTTTGGGGAGACCCTGAGTAGTGCAGACGCTTAAGTGCTCATTATTGTTGTTGTTAGGTGCCATTGACTCGATTCAGATGCATAGTGGCCCTATAGGACGTAGTAGAACTGCCCCATAGGATTTCCTAGGCTATAATCTTTATGGGTGCAGATCACCAGGTCTTTTTCTTCCTCAGAGCTGCTAGTGGGTTCAAAATGCTGGCTTTCGGTTAGCAACCAAGCACTTAACCATTGTGCCACTAGGGCTCTTTTTTAGCACTCGACTAGTAGCTAAAAGTTTGGTGGTTCGAACCCACCCAGAGGCACCTCAGAAGACAAGTCTGGCACTCTGCTTTTGAAAGTTCACAGCCTTGCAAACCCTATGAAGCAGTTCTACTCTGCACACATGGTGTTGCCATAAGTCGGAATTGACTCAGCAACAACAAACAACAGCCACCCTTTTGGAACCCTTCTTTTGGGACAGCATATTAATGTATGAAATTTGAGCTACTCTGTTTTGTATATCTATCTTTGGATCTCATTTGTAATAGTTAGGTATTAAAAAAAAGTTTTCCCTTTCACAGAACTCTAATGCAAGGGTGGAATGAGGGAAGCTACCTGGCTAGATATAATTATCAAAGCTCCTGCTTTTTAATTTTGGAAATTATTATTCATTTTGGTGAAAATAATCACAGTCGTACATCATTTCAACAATTTCTCTATGTACAACTCAGTGGCGTTGATTACATTCAAGTTGTACAAACATTCTTGTCATCCTTCTCCAAATTGTTCCACCACCATTGACTTAAACTCATTGCTCCCTAAGCTTCTCATCTATCCTTTTGAGTTGTCAATTTGATCTCACATAGATAATTCTTTAAAAGCTCAAGGCAGACATTCTTTTCTAATTAAAATAAATTATTTTTTGGTCCAAAGATGACTTCAGGGGGTAGTTTTGGTTCAAAGCCCCTGCTTTTGATTTTGGTGGTGGGTTTGCAGGCATTTATTACATTATTAAAAATAACTAACTCAATGAAGAAATATAAGTGGGCAATGTATAGACCACTGTGTCGTTTTTTAAAGTTTTCCCATCATAATGCTAGCTTTGAGTTAACATATAATGTTTACAGATTGAGGAAAAAATATCAGTACATTTAGAAGCATAACATTTGCATTGATTTTCAGCATTCTGAGTTTTTAATTAATTTGTAGTTATTCATGTGTTTTGATTGCATTTATTAATTCCGTGCCTTTTATATCTTATTTTTCAAGTGTTCTTAAGTTATTTGAACTACTTAGAGGATTTAGATCTTCCTCATGTCCCTGTAAGAATGATAACTTTGAAAATCACTCAGTGGTAGCAAAGAAGATGCTTCTTGCTTTAGAGTGTATATGTGTGGCCAGAGTTGTGTGTTGTTGTTGTTTTGGGGGGGTTGTTTAGAGGAAATTCCTTATACTGTGCTGCACCTGTAAAATGGGGATAATATTAGAAGCAACCTAACAAAGCCAGCGTGAGTGTTGAACAAGTTATTACATGTAAAGTTTCTTAGAATGATGCCAAGTATTTAGGAAGTACTCCGATGTTAGGTGGTGGTGTTAGTGTGTATAATATTAGTGTCTGTCATCCCAAGAGAGTTTAAAAGGATCCATTGTTAATCATATTTATATACAAAAATAAAGTATCAGGACTCTGCTGCTAGCATTCCAGATCCCTCTGATGATCGTATCAATCTCTTTCCAACCTTGTTTCCTACCTCCTCTCTTTAAGTATCATATACTGCAGTCATACTAAACTATCATGGCTTCTCTGTACAAGCCCTGTGTTTTCCCATTTCTTTGCTTTTATTCATACTGTTTCTGCTATCTGGAATGTTGATCTTTCTACACATATACAAATATTACCTTTTAAGGGACAGTTGCTTTCATAGCTCTACAACTGTAGGTAATCTCTTCTTACGGATTTCATGTATTTCCTCTTATATGATTCCTATCATTTTTACTTTTTATTGTATTTCCTTCATTTGGTTATGAGATCCTTAGAGGCAGAGAACTCTACCTTATTCATCTTTGTAGCTTTAGAATCTGTCATAGGCCTTAGCACATACTTAGGCAGTCAGTTGTGGAATAAAGGTTTATAAAAGGTCTAACAACAAGCTCAAAGGTGAAGTTTAATGATCAAATACATGCCGGTGAAAATGTATCTTGTTGGTTTTTGAACATTCCAAAACATTTTCATCAGTCGCTTAAAATGATACGACTTGAGGTCTTAGGAATTGGGTGAGGTTCAAGAGCATGGAAGGCGTAGAACATTATGTGGATTATCAGGAATCTTCATTAGAATGTTTTCTTGCTGTTCTTAAAAAGATGGCATGTCTGATTAACTGACGTTAAAAACAAATAAACCCATTGCCGCTGAGTTGATTCCAACTCCTAGTGACCCTATAGGACAGAGTAGAACTGCCCTGTGAGGTTTTCAAGTAGCGGCTGGTAGATTCAAATTGCCAACCTTTTGGTTAGCAGCTGAGCTGTTAACCACTGCATCACCAGGGCTGCAGTTAACTGCCATAGTGATTGTTTTTCTAATATTAACTGATTTTTCACAGATCTTCCCACAGATCTACCTTATCACTAGTGGTACAAATTTGTGAAAAGTTTAGCCAGCATTAAGGGTATATCTGTTACCAATAAAAATATGTACAGGCCACCTGGCTAAATCAGTTATTGAACCCATAATCTTACTCTGCAAGTAAATTTTTCTTGTCATGATTCCATAATACCTCTAGGAATGAAATTAGGGGTAGCCTGAGAATAGGAACTGGATGAGATATTTCATGAGGACTCTTTTTTGATACTTGGAGGTTATTGACCTCAAGATTTAAAAGAAATGGAAATGATGAGAAATGGAGAGATAAGTTATAATGTCAGGCTCACAGTAGGCATACATAGAGCTGAAGCAGCATTTGTGTACTCTCAGATCAAAAATTATCAGAATTTTTACAGTACCTCAAAGGGATGCTAGGTTGATTAAGCATCCTAATATAGAAACATTGAATCTGAAAACCAGATGCTACATGTTCTAATCATAACCCAGTTACTCATTGGCTGGCTGACCTGGGGTATATCACTCTGCATGAGTTTTGCTTTTAGAGAATGAGAGGCATGGGGCGGTGGGGTGGGGGGGTAAATATTTACAGCTCTTCGTGTTTTAGGGTTCCAAACCCAGTGCCATATTTTTCAGATAAGAAGTCCTAAGTATATTTGTAATATCTATCTGTCCCTGAAAAGTTAACTATCACCTTACATCTCCTAAGAACCAGAAGTGCCAGACATTGACTTGATAAATTTTAGCCCTTAAGGAAATTGCTGATACTCCTATCCCAAAGGATCAAATTCATTGGCTAGTAAAGCATATTTCAAGTAATAGTTAAGCAGGACCACTGATTTTGTTATACTGGGGTCCATTTTATATATGTGTTTGTACGCCAACACCTATAACAAACAAAAGTGCAGTGTACTTCAACATTTTCTACTCTAGTTCATTCAAAAAAAAAAAAAAAATCTAGTGTGACAGAATTGACATCATGACTTACTTAGAAACCCTATGGGCAATTCTGCTCGTCCTGTAGGGTCACTATGAGTTGGAATTCGACTCAGTGGCAGTGGGTTTGGTTTGGCTCTTCCCTTAATTGTGATAGCTTAGAAAGTTAAGATACAACTTGTTACCTAAAAATGCTTTTTAGGTAACAGCAGCAATGGGGAAGGAGGAAAAGAAGTCATAGGAGAGGAATTTGTTTTCTTATTTCCTTTGCTGGCTTGTGATAGGGTTTGTTAGGTTTTTGAGTCTACCAATCCTAAAATCGGTGATAAATTAAACTTTAGGTGTAATTTACTTCAGGGTTACCTCAAATTGTATAGTCAAAAAAAAAAAAAAATTTTTTTTCCCCAAGTAGTTTCCTCAAACTGAACCAGAATTTTACTGCTTTCTTAAAACCTTTGTGTTTCTTAGTCTTTCTGTGCAATTATAAAACTTCTTTCAGCATTCATATAGTTTTGGGTGGCTATATCTTGGTCAAGAAGCCCTGGTGCCTCAGTGGTTAAAGCAATCGACTGCTAACCGAAAGGTCGGCAGTTCAAAACCACCAGTGACTCCACTGGATAAAGATGTGGCAGTCTGCTTCTGTAGAGGTTTACAGCCGTGGAAACCCTGTGGGGTTGCTGTGAGTTTTTTGGGTTATATCTTGGTCAGGCAGGGATTTTTATATGAAGGAACATAGCAAAAAGAAAAACTGTCTTCCTGTTTCTTATTCCTCATGTGATACGGACTTTAAGGCCTTAAAATTGCCAAGGCAACCAGGGCACACTTTGGCTGTTTTCCTCTCAAATTTGAAGTTCTGCAATTTATTACAGTCACAAAGAACTGTTCCCAGTACGCCACAGAACTTGCTTCCTCTGTGTTGCTGTGTACTTCCTGTTTTGTCATATTTCCATTTAGGGAAGAAGAATGGTTTTATAGGCTAGAGTAAGTTTTGTTAAAACTTCTCCTGAAATGCAGTTCGGAATCTGTCCAAATACCTAGAGGGACAAAAAGGCACGTCATGTCTGCACATGAAGTCATTTGTCAGAATGCTTTATTTGGCTTCCTACCATGAGAGAGAGGAGTGCCAGGAAGGAAGAGAAACTTTTGGCTGTCAGAAATATTTAGTGTATGACTTGCCAGCTTTGTAGCTTGCCTTTAGCCTTTCCATGTCAAATGTATTTCAGCGTGTGAATGAGTCATTATATTGCCTATGAAGGAAGGATCTCTGTTCATTTCTAGTAGTCTTATCTGTAGAAATATGTAAGAACTGCATTTGGCCACATTTACTCCATTTTCAGTAGGAACAGGTGGAAGGTCAAATGGTGATTAGAATAGAAAATGGGCTACATTGTGAATGTCAAATATCTTTGAGAAAAAATGTTGCAGCAAAACAATTTTAAGGATTTTTTTTGCAACTAATACACATTGAGTTAGAACATTTAAAGCTATAAATGATGAATTATATCACTTTTTTATCCTGTGAAATGAACTAGGTGTCAGTAGACTATAATTTCAGCGTAAACCTGTATGTCCATAATGCTGGTAAGAGAATCTTGTGTTAACATTCTTGTGGAGGGAACCAGGCCCTTCAATGAAATTTTCGTTGACCAAATTGACCTGGCCTGTCTTAAGTCAGGTATTTTTCTCTTTCTTGACCTGTCTGTAAAATATGAAGGATACCTATCCCCGGCCATTAATGAACGATTATGCAGTTAATTCCTTACTGTCTCCCTGGCTGTTTGTCCACCCTTATGTTGGAAATATTCTAAGATTTCTATGTTGTCCTCTTTTGCAGCAGCTAATATGGAATTGTAAGATGTTTGAAGCCATCTGCTGTCAAGTTTCTGCCAGATACTTCCCTTTTTCTCATCTAGATAGGTAATCTTATCTCTGAGACATATATTTCTGACAAAATTAAATGGACAAAAAAAAGTTTTCCTATATACCACACCTTTCAGTCCCTACTAGTAGCTTCAGCTCCCATTTTGCCTTATTACAGAAGTCTTTTCTTAAAACTCTGTAAGTAGTAACCTTTTAATACCCTGTGTCCAAATCAGTGATTCTTAAATTTTAGTATGTTCGTAAGAATTACATCAGGTGCTTATTAAAAATACAAATTCCTGGACCCTACTTCAGACCTAATGAATTCAAACCTGTGAAGAATTCTTATGCAGATGGTCTTTGGTTTGAAGAGGTATACCACGTGCATTCCCACTCATCTAAATTCTGTTCTTCACAATCTTTTATAGATTAGTCTCTTTATTTCAACTTCTGGCATCTCAGAAGCTTTTCTATACCAATTTGGCATCTCGGAAGGTTTTCTGTACTAATTATTGACATCTTTAGTTTTTCTCCTGAATTTATTCATTGTAGCACCACAAAGTAGAATTTTAGGAAAATTTACTTAAATAAGGAGTTGAATTAATTTATTGTAAAATAATGTTAAAAGCCCTGTACTGTTTGTCATTCCCCAGGTTCATTCCCTGTTCACCAGTCACTACACTTCTCTGAGCTTTAATTTCCTCATCCACCTATAAGAATGAATTATAGTACTTGTACCTTGATTACTCATATTTTATAATTGGAGAGCACTTGTTACTGCTATTTCCTGGTTACTGCTGACTCTCCAGCTTTTTGCTACTCCTTATTTAAATGAATTTTCCTAAAATTCTACTCTTTGGTGCTACACAGTAAAAATCAGATATTTAACTTTTGTAGATAATAAGTCTGAACAGCCTGTCACTGAAGGCTTTTCACTGGTTTCCTTTTCAGTCCTTCTAATTATACCCCAGAAGATCTGGTCTCTCCACGGTACCACTTCTGCAAACCATTTTTGTCACATTTATGACCTTTCTCCTTTAAAAATCCAAATCATCCAAAGTAAGGAACCTTACTCTGCAGTGCTTTTTATAAACCACATTATACCGGTGTTTATTTTAAAGAGCTGTTATGTATGCACTGGAAGGATACATGTTAAATGCATACATAATATGTGATTACCTCTGAAGGGGTGGGATGGTCAAAAAGGAACAGTAGTTTTATTTGTAATGATATAATATTTATATGACGGACAATACATAGATACATATACACATACCAAAAAATTTTTTTACACAATAGTAGTTTTTCTAGATTGTGGGAGTATAGTTTTCTTCTTCATGCTTTTATAGTTTTTTTTTTTTTTAATTTGCCATAGTTAAAAGTGGGGATAAGAAATAGAGTGGTTTTCTATGTATATGGCTGTTTTCAAAGTATTTTGTAAACTGTATTTTGTATTTTTTTCTAAAAATTCCTATAGTCAGTTATGTTGAACCAGACACTAGGGATTTTGCATTCCCACCAGCAGTGAGAGTTCTTGTTGGTCTACATGCTCACCAAAGTTTAGTGTAGTCTTTAGTCTAATAGATGTGGAGTGGTGTATCTAATTGTGGTTATATTTGCATTTTCCCGATGATTAATGATAAGTATCTTTTCATGTGCCTGTTTGCCATTCTTGTATTGTCTTTGGTGAATTGTCTGTTCAGACTGTTGCCTTTTTTTTTTCTTCCAATCATATTGTTAACTTATGTTGAATTTTGAGAGCTCTTTATATATTCTGGACAAAAGTCCTTTGTTAGATACATTTGCAAATATTTTCCCCCATAGTTTTTCTTATCTTTTCATTCTCAACAGTATTTTTAGTTAGAGATGCCTTTAATTTTGGTGAAATTCAATTTGTCAGTTTTTTTCTTTTATGGATCATGCTTTTGGGTATAGCATCTGAGAACTCTTTTTAAACCAGAGTTACAAAATTTTCTTCTGTGGTTTCACCTAAGTTTTAAAGTTTGAGGTACATTTTGGTCTGTGATTGCTTCTGAGTTAAAGTTTTGTATATGGTACAAGGTATGGTTTGAAGGGTTTTCTTTGTATATGGATGTCCAGTTGTTAATTGTAACAGCACCGTTTGTTGTAAATCACTATCCTTTCTCCATTGATTTGCCTTTGCACCTTTGTTAAAAATCTAGTTCTAGACTCCATTCTGTTCCGTTGATAATGTGTCAAATGTCTATTACATTAATTTTATAGTAAGCCTTGCAATAGTGTGTCTTTTTCAAAATTGTTTTTGCTATTCTAATTTCTTTGTTTTTTCTACATTCATTTTAGAAACAGCTTGTCAATTTCTACCAAGGAAAAGTCTGTTGGTAGTTTGATTGGGTTTACATTGAATCTCTAAGTCGTTTTGGGAAGAACTGACATCTTAACAATACCGTCTTCCAATAAGTCTGTTTATTTAGGTTTTATTATTTTTTTCATCAGTGTTCTATAATTTTCAATGAAATCTTCCAGAAATTTAGATTTGTACCTAAGTAGTTCATGTTTTTTGTTGGCATTATAAATGATACATACTCTTATCCTCATTTTATAGATGTGGAAATTAAGTTACTTGTTAGCCGAAAGTCACACAATTATCAAATGACAAAACTACATTGACTACTTGAGCTTACAGACCACTACCCTGGTTTTACTTACAGTGAGTTTTCTTATTCTGAAATTGTGATTATAATGGGGTGGAGAGGAAGCTCTAACCTTCTTTTAATGAGAAAAATCCATTACTGTGCTTAAAAGAATTTTTTCCCAAGTTTTACGTATTTTCTAAGCTTGGGTTTTTTAGATTTGTTCAGACAATAAATCATGCTTATCTAATTTAGAAGCCTCTGATTAATGTATTTTTGAATTGTTTTTAGACAGTGTACTTCATCCTGCAGTCACTAGTATGAATTATTTCAGTTTAAACATTTTTGGTCTTTAGCATTTGAATGCCTGTGTGCTCACCAGCAGAGATACAAAACAGAGACAATTCTTTTTTTAAACAACCCTCAGTCTGGATAGGTATGCACTTATTTTATTACAGTAAACACCATAACAGATGAACACACATGGTCAGTGATAGAACAGAAAAGCTTTCCTTGGTTGGGGTTCAGAGCACTTGCCCTCTTAATCATTTTTCTTTTTTTAGTTTGCAAACTGTTAAATGGGAAACACTCAAAGGACTAACCATTTCAGAAGTTTAGGCTGCATTATGGATAGGATGGAATGCAGGAAAGTAGAATATTGATCAAATTTGGGTTCCATGAAGGTAGGGAAGAAAAATGTTTTAGTGTTGCACATTAAGACATTTTTTATACGTGGATTTCTTCTGGATTCTTACCAGTATTCTGATAACTGGATGATTTTACAGAATGAGAGAAAAAGGAATATTAATTTGTGCTTGTCCTATGAAATGAATATTTTAATCTTTCAAATCAGTTAAAATATGTTGATGACCTAAGACTTGATTTTTCTCATTTATTTTTTAGGTCTCTATGAATACAAATAAAAGCAAATGGACAGTCAGATAAGTGTGTTTATAATCTAAATATATTTTATTATTTGAAATCTCTAAACCAGAATTTTGTTCTTTTAAAATATTTTTTCTTCTTCTTTTTTTAGGTATCAGTATCAACAAAGTTTACACTAATAAGGTATTCAACCTTTTCTTTCTTAAAATAAATTTTACAGTCACAAAGTAAAATGTAGTTGCTTTTTTACCATCTTACTGATACAGCATTAAATAGGTTATTCATTATCATTTCATTTCTCAGAGGGTAATCCGATCTCATAGTAGTTAATCCTGTGTATAGTATAAAAATCAGTTTCTTCATAATAGCTTTAAGAACTAGGTATAGCTGTTTAGTTTCATCTGATGTTATTACATCTTGTAGTGAGTTACAAGTGGCTCAGCTGCCCAAACTTAGGTTTAAAACAGAGCTTTGAACCGGTTTGAACCGATTCAGTCATGGCCAACAACAACCATGAAACAGCAACAGACCCAGAGTTTTACAGTTTGGCAGATTTGGCACAGTACTCAGAATAGGAAAAACTACAGGTTGAAGCCCTGGAATGGGAGACTTGGAAGAGGCAGGGTGAGCCCTGTCAGGAGCCTGATATGTGAGACTGGCTTATTGGCAGGACTGTAGAAGAACAACACATTCAAAGTGGTGTGGTCAGCAGCCATCTTTTAAGTGGGGTGCCGCCATCTTTGAGCTGGGCAGTGCTGCTTTGAACTGTGCTTAAAATCGAAGGGCAAGGGATTTGGTTGTTATGCAATGCATACACTGCCCTTGTTCTCTAAAAAGGAGATAAAGTTTATAGCAGGGCTTCGACCCATAGTTTTTCCCGTTCGGGTCATCTTTCCAGTTTACCAAAACCCATTGTCGTCGAGTAGATTCCAACTCATATAGTGACCCTATAGGACAGAGTAGAATGGCCCCATATGATTTCCAGGGGGCAGCTGGTGGTTTCAAACAGCCGACCTTTTGATTAGCAGCTGAACTCTTTACTGCACCACCAGGGCTCCTTCCAGTTTACAGTAACTTTAAAAATTGGGTCTGTTTCAGTGATGCTTCCTCAGCTATGACTGAACCAGGCAGAACCAGTTCAAAGCCCTAGTTTAAAAAGGGTTACTTAAGAATACATGCACTCACAGCACAGTAAGAATAGAAGATTCATGTGCCATTCATAGTTTGGAAAAGTTTAAGAAAGGCCACAGATTTGCTTATTATCTGAGTAAAATATGAGTTGTAAAATGTAGCAGGTAATTTCACATAAAAGAAGCCATAATGAAATACTAGTTTGTGTTGTTTGTGTAGTAGTTACCTATTTAAGTATAATGATTTGCTGTCTTAAGTACACAAATGTTCAAAGTCCAGCAATACCCTGCAGCTAAACTCAATGGTTAAGCTGCCTTCTTAGGAAAGCATAGCAGTTGAATGGAGTGGCACTAGCATGAGCCCAGTAAGGTGGTTAAACACTCAGCTGCTAACCGGAAGGTCAGCAGTTCGAACCTACCAGCTGCTCTGCAGGAGAGTGATGTGGCAGTTTGCTTCCATAAAGATTTACAGCCTTTGAAACTGTATGGGGCAGCTCCACTCTGTCCTGTAGGGTTGCTATGAGTCAGAACTGACTCAACAGCAGTGGGTTTGGGTTTTAGCTTTTTGTATCTAGGATCCCTGGCAAAATTCACAATTATTTCTTCCTGCTGTGAGTGCTGCTGTTCAGGTTCTGACAGTTGTCGTTCAGGCCACAGTACTTCCTATACCACTTAATAACAATTAGGTTTACAGAGCACTTTCACATATATTCTAATTTTAGCATGAATGCTGTCTGGTAGTATTTTTATTTGAACCTTACAGATCAAGAAATTTTAAGAGTGACAGAATAGGGATTTTATTGATCCTTAAATCACCCCACCTAACCACAATAAAGGGAAAAATAAACATTCTTGACTCTTACATATTAAAGGATCTGTTTTTGAAAAAACTGTCCCAATTCGACACATTTTTCTTCTGCATCACACCTAACATTTAACAACTGGCTGATTACTAACAATTACTAGGTAAGTGATGGAGTAGAGTTTTAGATTGAGGATTTCAAAGCCTCTTCATTTTCCAGTATTTCAAGGAATTTTAAAGTAGGCATAAATCTCCATTTTACTGTTGAGTTATATGTCCTCAGTTAACCCCCACCAATTTTGTTAGGCAGATATTAACCAAACTTCAGTGGTTACAAGACAAAAATTTAATGAAAATTGGTGAGTGGGTTTGTAATAATCCACAGGGCTAAATAGTTTACATGGAACTGTAATAGAAATTTAAAATAGATGGTGAAGTAAATGTTACATATTATCATCATCTGATTCATCTTCTTCCTTCAAAGATTCCTGTTAAAAGAAAAACAGCGTTTAAAATAAATTTTAATATTGTCATCACCCATACCTATAGTAAGTTAAGGTGTAACAACTTGAATTTAATTCAGCACTTGTCATTACACATTCAGCTATTTGTAACTGAAAAATGAACACTGCTTTAGAACAAGAGCCCAAGTAAAGCAAAGCAAAGGATAATTAAACATATCTTGCTCTAACACTCAAAGGCTACATTCTTGCTAGAACACACATATGTAAAGCATTAACGTCCTGAAGAACCCTCACAATTTTCACCAAAAAAAAAAAAAAAAATTATTTTTTTGGAACCACTGGAAGAACCAGGGCCAACTTTATCCCTACTGTGGGTAACCCAGAAAATTTGTATACTTAATGTAGCTCTACTCTTAAAAGTTTCAATCAATCCAATTCCTTTTCTTATTCAACTCTTACTTCCTTGCCTTCAGCTGGAGAAGTTTGTAGCTGTGGCTTACCTTAGCATATTTCTCTGCTTCTTCCCTTATATCTTTTGGTACAATTTCATGTCTTCCTTTAGTTACTGTAAATTAAGCCATATTAAATGAATTTAAAATGAGTTTACTGTAATTTGCAATACCATGCAGTCTATCCAATCCACAGGTATAATTCACCAATATTATGAAGTTGTACTGCAAGTAATACCAGATGCTTTAAACTCTACTTTGTGTTTCTTCCACATCAGAGCTTATATCTACCCAATTTAACGCTTATGGAAATTATTAGGTCAGAATTCAGTTGATTGTAAATACTGAGTTCTCATTAATGTGCACCAAATTAGATTAATTTTTAAAACATCCTAGCCTTGAAAAAAATTGGTTACTTCTCAGTAATATCTTTTAAAAGGATGAAATGGATGTTTAAGGTGGGAGTGGGGGGAACAACTGTAAGTAAATAAACTTTTCACAATTTTAGTCAAGAATTAAGCAGAATTTTTCGTGACTACCTTGTAAGTTTGTTTTAACATTCTTTGTACATTAGAAAGGGTACCCAGTGGTAAACTGGCTGTAGTTCAAATGACTCCTAGAGCAAATTAAATGTACAAATATAACTTACATTCACCAACCCAGCTGAGCTCTAGTTCGAAAGCTTTATCCTTAACTTCATCATGTACTATGTAAATTCTAGAATAGAGAAGGAAATTAACATTCATTTGGCCATCTCCAAGCATTTCAATTCATGTACCTACTCTGTCAGTACAAATCAAAGCACCCATCCTTAATATAAATATTATTAAATTATATAAAACACATTATACAATCTATACAGTTCTGAACATTAGAAAAAAAACAAATTACACAGTGACTGAAATAAAATGGAACACTTGCTCTCCTTACAAATGATTATCTTATCCTAACCAAAAAAGATACCTCATAAAGAACAAAGAGTCATATGGGAAAATGCCATCATTAGCTGTGCCTTTTCCAGAATACAATTACAGGCAGTCCCCAGGTTACGAATGAATTCTGTTCTTTTAAGTCTTGTCTTTAAGTCAAATTTAAACCTGGGTCAGTTGGTACAGGAACGTCTGTATCTAAGCTCAGTTAGATATCTGTCTTAGTATATAGTGTACCTTTCCATGGTGTAAAAAACATCAAAAAAATACGTCCAGATACACTAGAACATCTTTAACATAATTTAACAGTAATAATAATGTTTTGCTGCTCCTCACAAAGTAGCACCCATTTGTTAGTATGAACCATTGTATATGTACCTCGAATTTTGAATACGATAGGCTTTAAGGGAGTTGGTTCGTAACTATGGGTTGTTCAGACGTTCATAAGCTGGGGACTGCCTGTATTTTAAAACCAAGTTATTTATGTGCTTGCAGTTATCAGTGGTCTTTTCAATCTGCAGCTTCTTGGCAGGAATCTTCTTAAATTCCTTGTCCATCTTGTAAGGGCTACATTCCACTTAACCTGGCTTTTAAAGTACCAGAAAACGAATAAAAATAATAAATACCAGAGTAAAGCTTTCTTTTATATTTTCCATTCTTACACACCTTACTTAGGAGGGTCTTCCTAAGCCCTTGCTTAATGACAAAGCATATTAATTTTCTAGAGCTAAGTAAAAGATACATAATGTTCCATCTTATTAAATAATAAATGATGGCTTTACTACATGGAACTAGAGAAGTGTCTAAATATAAAAGGTGTTAAGGGATGATTTCCAGAAGCACTTAAAAGGATTAGTTTAGTGAAGGAAATGGAATATATCATATTAAACGATTGTACAATTCAGTGAAGATTACTTTCTTTTTATGAGGTCCTAGTAACGTTAGTTCCCATTACTCATTTTATTATCAATAAAAACTTTGCCAATCATAGAGAGGTTTCTGTTTCTTAAATGATGCAAGGAGAAGATTTCATCATGGAAGGAGTAGGAACAGCAGATAGACGAGGACAAAATTACAGAATACTAAGATTTTAACAGGATCTCGGGATTATCAAAATAGAACATCCTTTATTTGTTAAAACTATCAGTTTAGAAGATATCACAGGTACTGTTTAAATAGTATGTTTTTTTACTATACAATAGAGCCCTACAGGACTTCTTTTCCTTGCATGTTTATGATTTAATGCAAAACCTGAGACACTATTTGCACAGGAGCTGACTGGCCAGACCTTGTTCATGTAGTTCTAATGTTGAATAGTTAGAGGTGCTATGAATTCTCTGAACATTATTTATATCCTTTACTTTTAAATCAGAGAAGTTGGCTGCAAAACCAGCATTTGATTTGATTGTTTTAAATACCAAACACTAACATTCTTTCACCTAGAACAGTTATGAATTTCTGAATCATTACCACACAGGTGTATTAACTTTGTATTGCTGAGTATTCCAAAAAATTCTTACAATGAACTGTATGTAACTGTAATACAAACCATTTCAGACTTTCATAGGCTGTTTTTAAATGTTTTGAAATGTTGTTCTTCTCATTTTGTTACAAGAACTTTTATAATAAACCTGAAAAAGTGAAACATACCTTGCCCAAAGAAACAGCAGTTTATATAAATGAGCTAGTTTTTTTTTTTTTAATTGTACTTCAGGTGAAGGCTTACAGAACAAATAGTTTCTCATGAAACAGTAGTACACATATTGTTTTATGACATTGGTTAACAACCCCACAACATGTCAACCCTCTAACTTCTCAACCTTTTTTTTTTTTTTTTTTGGTGAAAATACACATAGCCAAAGATACAGCATTTCAAAAATTTCTACATGCACAGTTCAGTGACACTGACTATGCTCTTCCAATTGTGCTGCTATTCTCATTTAAGATGAAGGCTTACAGAACAAAATAGTTTCTCATTTAACAGTTACTACAAATGTTGCCCTATGACAATGGTTAACAATCTCACAACACATCAACAATATCCTTACTCAGCCTTGGGTTCGCTATCACCAGCTTCCTTGTCCCCTTCTGCCTTCTGGCCCTTGTCACTGGACTACTGTACCTTGTTAGTCTCATTTGGTTTTACAGGGCTGTCCACTCCCAGGCTGAATGGTGAACCTCAGAGACAACTTCACCACTGAGCTAAAAGGGTGTCTGGGGGCCATATTCTCGGGGTTTCTCCAGTCTCCTTTAGGCCAGTAAATCTGGTCTCTTTTTTTTGTGAGTTAGAATTATGTTCTACATCCTTCTCCAGCTCTGTCCAGAACCCTCTGTTGTGATCCTGGTCAGAGCAGTCAGTGGTAAATGAGCTAGTTTTAAAAGTGACTTCATAGATTATGTAGAGAAATAATTAGCTGTGAACCTAAAATAAAGATAATTTTAGTTTGTAAGCTTCCTTGGAGATAATCTAAGATTATATTACTAAGACTGAAGTCCCAAAGACACAAGGAAAATATGTACCCAAGAGATAAAAAGGACCACATAAACCAGAGACTCCATCGGCCTAAGACCAGAACTAGATGGTGCCTGGCTACCACCAATGACTGCCCTGACAGGGAACACAACAGAGAGTTCCTGATGGTGCAGGAGAAGAGTGGGGTGCAGAACTCAAATTCTAGTAAAACGACCAGACTTAATGGTCTGAGACTGGAGGAACCCAGAAGACACGGCCCCCATACTCTCTGTTAACCTAGAACTAAAACCATTCCCAAAGCCAACTCTTCAGACAAAGATTAGACTGGACTATAAGACATAAAATGATACTCGTGAAGAGTGTGTTTGTTAGTTCAAGTAGATACATGAGACTAAATGGGCAGCTCCTGTCCGGAGGCGAGATGAGAAGGCAGGCAGGGATAGGAGCTGGTTGAATGGATATGGGAAATCCGGGTGGTCACATTATAGGGCTAGCAACCAGGGTCATGTAACGTGTATAAATTTCTGTATGAGAAACTAACTTGAGCTGTAAACTTTCACCTAAAGCATACAATAAAAAAAATCAAACATGTAATTGACAAAAAAAAGACTACAGTCCCTAGAGATCCACTATTTCTCCCTGCCCTTAAATTCTGTCACTTACAAAGGAGTTTATTTACCTTGTCAAAATCTGTTTTTTAAGCTCAACCAAGACAAGGAAGAGCTAAATGCTACAATCAACCAACTTGATCTCGCAGACATATACTGAACACTCCAGCCAACAGTAGTCAAGTATACTTTCTTTTCCAACACACATGGAACATTCTCCAGAATAGACCATAAATCACGTGTTAACAAAATTCAAAGCACAGAAATATTACAGAGCAACTTTCTGACCATAAAGCCATAAAAGTAGAAATCAACAACAGAAAAAGCAAGCAAAAAAAAAAAAAAAATCAAACACATGGAGACTCAACACCTTGCTCAAAAACTACTGGGTTATAGAAGAAATTAAGGATGGAATAAAGAAATTTACAGACTCAAACAAGAATGAAAACACATCCTACCAGAACTGTTGACACAGCAAAAGCAAGGCTCAGAGGTCAGTTTATAGCAATAAATGCACACATCCAAAAAAGAAGGGCCATAATCAAAACATTAACTCTACAACTGGAACAAGTAGAAAGAAAGCAGCAAAAGAAGCCCTCAGGCGCCAGAAGAAAGGAAATAATAAGAATTAGAGCAGAATTAACTGAAATAGAGAATAGAAAAACAATTGAAAGAGTTAACAAGACCAAAAGCTGGTTCTTTATAAAGATCAACAGAATTGACAAACCACTGGCCAAACTGACAAAAGAAAAACAGGAGAGGAGGCAGATAACACGTATAAGAAATGAGATGGGTGATTTCACAACAGACACAACTGAAATTCAAAGAATCATAACAGAATACTAGGAAAAACTGTAACAAATTTGAAAACCTAGAGGAAATGGACAAATTTCTAGAAACTCACTACTTACTTACCTAAACCAACACAAATGGAGGTAGAACAACTAAATGAACCCATAACAAAAGAAGAGATTGAAAAGGTAATTTAAAAACTCCCAACAAAAAAAAGCCCTGGCCCTGACAGCTTCATTGGAGAATTCTACCAAACTTTCAGAGAACAGTTAACACCACTACTACTAAAGGCATTTCAGAGCATAGAAAAGGATGGAATATGCCCAAACTTATTCTATGAAGCCAGCATAACCTTGATACCAAAACTAGGTAAAGACACCATGAAGAAAGAAAATTACAAACTAATATCCCTCATGAACACTGATGCAAAAATCCTCAACAACATTCAGCCAATAGAATTCACCAACATACAAAAAAATAATTCACCATGATCAAGTGGGATTTATACCAGGTATGCAGGGATGGTTCAACATTAGAAAAACAATATAATCCATCACATAAATGAAAGACAAGAACCACATGATCTTATCAATAGATGCAGAAAAGGCATTTGACAAAATCCAACAACTATTCATGATAAAAACCCTCAACAAAAAAAAGAAAGGCTGTTTTTTCCCTCCACCCCATTCATTATCACTTGAAATCTAAGTTTAATTTAAAACGTAGATATTATCCTCCTTAATAAAACTTAGAATGTGTGGAGGAAACATTCATAAAAAGACAAGTATTCGCTGTAACATGTATATCTCAGTTTTATCTCTTTATTGTCTTAGCTTCTAAAAATCATACATAAATTCTTTTCAAACAAAACAGCCTCCTAAAATTAATGTATAAAGTAAGGTCAACTGAAATACTTCTGCCAATGGCAAGGAAAAGTTCAACTTACATTTTTGCAACTTCTTTAACAACATCACGGCAGGTCATTTCTTTCATCTACAGAAAACAAAATGTATATTAAGTTTAAAAACCAGAAGAACACTTTCCACTTGTATAACTAATTTTCAGATTACTTTCACAATTTCTATCAATAACCAATGCTCTTGAAATAGTTTCTCAGATATAAAGCTAGGGAAAAGTATCCTAAGGCTGGTAAGAAACCAGAACTGAAGGTTTCTAATTCAGTTTAGTGTTTGAAAATTACTGTGCCAAAATATTCTGGATAACCCCTAGATATCACTAGTTATATGATGTGTTAAAAATTATAAAAATCTAGACCCTTCAGTGAATCTATTCACAGGTAGAACATGAACTTACAAATTCTTTAGAGAAGAAAGCTTTTTTTTCTTTATAGCCAATTTAAGATATAGTAAAATGCAAACAAATCATGAATGCCTACGATTTTCAAGATAACGGAAAGATGAAGATTTGATCAGGTACTTAGAACACAGGTTGGATTTGATTTGATTTTGAGAAAGATAAATGAAATGGTCAAAGCAAAAGTGGAAAGCTAAAAACTTGCTCTTATTAGAAGCAATTCAGCATTCCTGTAGTGAACATTTGGAAATCAGACTAGAAAAACAGGCCTTAAGTGTCCAGCTCTGAGGAGTCTGACTATTGTAGGTACTGGAAGTAACCAATGCAGGATTTTCATATTAGTCATGTAGGTTTCTGAACAGACATAAGATCAAAGCAATGTTTGAGCAAACTGGCATTCATATTCTAGATATGTTTTGTGTGTCTGGGGGTGGGGGAATGGTGAAAGATAACAGTCCAGACTTCTTGGGTGTTTCAACTACTCTAAACTAGGTACATTAACATTTTATTTTTGAAATTTAGAAATCCTGATGCTCAAGCTGTACCTGCACAACCACATGAGGAAGAAAGAACAACAAAATAAACCTTAACACTGAAATTTTAAACTTAAGAATACCAGTCTTTTTAGGAAATCGACAAATCCCATATATGAACAAGGCAACTGCCACAGACTTCAAAAAAAATTACACTGTGTGAAGGGGAAGATTCTAAATTTAAAAAGATCTTTAAAAATATACTCAATGTGGGAACACTGTATGGTTGTTACAAAAGACACTGTTGAGATTACTGAGGCAGTCTGATTATGGATTGACTATTAGATGGTATCTTAGGTGTGATAATGGTATATGAATACTGAAGCATTTAGGGTTACAATGTCATGATGCCTGCAACTTGGGTAAAAAAGAAAATGGAAAAATAACTTAGATGGAGAGGTTTGTTGTAATCTTCTTATATCTTCTGATATTTTAATGGTATTTTTATATATCTACATAAAGTTTTTATTTCATACGTTAATATTTTTGGTATACGGAACCTCAGAAGGAAAGTAGGACAGAGCAGGGGTAGGCAAACTTACTCTATAAAAGGCCAGATAGTAAATACATTAGACTTTATGAGCCATATGGTCTCTGTTGCAACTACTCAACTATACCATTGTAGTGCAAAAAACTAAATGTGGCTGTGTTCCAAAAAAACTTACAAAAGCCGGCAGTGGGCTGCAGTTTGCTGATCCTGATTTAGAGCATGTTTTTGTCATAAAATGTTCCTCAACCAAAGTAATTTTTCTTGATTTTAGCCAGTACTTATCGCCTGCTAGGATTTAACAACTGAAAGACAAAAGGAATGTGGACTGATCTAAATGTTCTAATTTTCAAATTTCCACATAATACTAGGGAGAAATGAATAATAAAAAAAGAAAAGTGTGCTGGAAAAGAGCATTGTTAAGTTGATCAATTCATGCTTTCAGGGAAATCAGCAGCAAGCACTGGAGAACAGTCAGACAGTGTGAAAGCTACGTTCCAGACAAGAAAGAAATGACATAGGAAAAAGTACTATGTAACTTTTCATTACAATTGATTCTGTGACATTAACTCAGAATTCTAAAGCACCAAGCCTGGGGCTCATAGGGATCCATGAATGCACTTCAGGGATTTTGTGAAATTGTATGAAAAACTCTGCTTGTATTTTTCTGGATAAGGGTTATAGTAGTCATCAAAACCCACAAAGGTATCCATATCACAACTCTACAGGTAATGTGTTACCAACTTTCTCGTTCAAACATTTAGCAGCTTCAAAAAGCTCTCCTCTAAACATTCAACCACATTTTGTCCTTAGACTGAAAGGTTTAATTTGTGATGATAAAACTTCACTGCATGGAGGGGATAATATTACTCCAAAATTACAAGCATTAAATATACCTTACCTGAAGCTTTTCAATTTCTGTCTTTGCAGCTTGCCTGGCTTTACCGATAGCACAGCCCCAATAACCCTATTTAAAAAAAAAAAAAAAATTATATCATTCAATTAAATTAATATTATATCATTAATGACTACAAGTATTTCTATTTAAAGGGTACGGAGAATATTAAATGACTTAAAAGCACATATGAAGAAAGTCAAACACATTCCAATGACCTCCATGGGGCTCAAAGAAATTAAAATACCAAACAATTCTAAAAGAATCGATTCTTTTTTAAAAGAGGTATATCAAAAGTATATATATATTATCATATACACTTCAAGAAATACTTTTTGGGAAGGAGGTAGAAATGAAAAAGAAATTTTAGCAATATGACAATGAAAAATGAGGCTTTCCTCCCTCCCCCCAGCCCCAAGATAAAAATAATTACTTTGAATTAAGTCTAATGCTCTAAGCCCTCATTTTTTTATTACTATGTTGTAAAGGTTTTTTTTTTTTTTTAATTAAACATACCCATACATACTTACATTATGAAGATTTTAATACTTACACTTAAAAGCTCATTTGTTTAAATTAGTAAATACCATATAAATCTCAGAATAACAAGATAGTTAAGAAAAGGTAATAAATTAGAAAAAGTACCCACAACTTCCATTTAAAATACATTTTTACAAGGAAAAATACTATCTTCCATTTTAAGATACTGCTAAATAGTAATGGAGGAAATACCACATATTCAAAAATTTATATCATTTCTACAAATAACATTGAAAGCCACAAATCTTTCCTTTGCCTTATAGCCAGGAGTTATTAATGATAAAACATTCCTTAAATGAAGTTTAAGGAATTTCATATAATACAAATACGTGATTTAAGTATTAATGAGATGGTATCATTAAACTAGAATTAGAATTTCAGATGATTCAAAATTACTCACATATGAAACGCCTGATGGGTCAATCATATAGAGTTGTGCACCATCATTCACACTGTAAGACCCTAACATGAAACTGTATAAAAGCAAACAAAGAAAATGATCACTAAACACCACCTGAAATCTCAACATCTGTAGGGGGGAAGAAAAAAAAGACTTTAAACCATGGCTCTTAATACCATGAAGTAGGGGGGAAAAATACAGTGATGAAAATGCAACTGGTTTCTAAGATAAATTACTGATATACACAAGTCCTTTGATAAACTGGTTTCAATTAATAAAAGCTAGTAACTGGTTTCAATTAATAAAAGTACATTATTTGAGATTATCTCTTCAATATTCATGTGGCTTTTTATGTCTGTCTAGTATTAAGCCTTCTGATGAAACTCAATTTCCTGGTATGTTAGCAATGTTGAGAAAGCAGTCAACAATGAGACAGAATGAAAATAGAATGAGGGTCCAAAAGGTAAAGGCATAAACATTTTTGAAAAAGCCATGGGTACAACATTCCTGGTTGAGTATACTGAATTCACAAACTCTTTCCATCCTTAATTCTTTTTTGGCTACTCCCCAATTTTCCTCCAGACATTTTTCTGCAATAATGCAAACTGGTTGGTCCATGCTCACAAATTAAAATTAGGCTATCAAATGATCCTATGGAGTTAGATTTTCTGAAACTCTGATTTTTTTTTTTTTTTTTTGCTTTAGAAGTAGATAAGAAGCCAGCCTGATCTTACATATCATTTCACATGTGGAATACCTAACAACTAACTGTCCAATTCCCACCCCTACCATCCTTCCATCTTCCACACTGCTATGACACTTATTTTTCAGAACATGTATCTGATTGTCATTATTGTGTTTAAAATCCTTCAGTGTTACCTTAGGTTAAGCTGAAACTCCTTAGCAGAGTTATGTATACTCTGGCCCCTTCCTATGTCTTCAATATTATCTCTACACCTTATACACTACACACCAAGTATACTTAACTACCTCAGCTTTTCCTGAAAGGCCCATGCAGTTTCATACCAGTCCTTTTGCTTGAAATACCCTTACCGTTCCCCATACATCTCACTTTATCATTTCTTCTAAGAAGCCATTCCAGAATCGATGCCCCCACTATACACAGTACATACCTTTATTATTTCGCCTCTAAAATTTTACCAATCATGACTTACTCATCTCCGTGAATCTATTGACTGACTCGTAGTACAGGCTCAATAAATGTTTACTAAGAAAGTTATCACCCCCTCCACTATTCTTACTCCCTCAAAAATGCCACAAAAGAATTAACTGATGAATTCAGAACTCAGATGAAAGGTTAAAAATGAAAGGTACCTATTTGGCTTGAAAGCAAAGTTTCATAATGAAATAATGCAACAAGTATCCAAAGGTTTAACCTACTACTGATAGGCTATAACTCAGGTTTTTTCTAAAATCTGTCGTCCTCAATAATTTAAACGAGACTAACTATAAAACAATCCGGAGGCAGGACTACAGCTAACTAACTTTCTATAGCCTTTAACAGTGGTAAGTGTGCAAATGTCAGTAAATTTTATTTTAATCAATATGACTAACTTGTTTTATTTTACAAAAGTTATAAATTAAACATGTCTTTTTATTTTAGGACAGTCTAGAGTCATGACAGGTCTCCTCTGAGAAGCCCACCAAAATAAAAATATCAGCACTTCACCTTAACAAAAACAGAAAATGTGACTAACGAGGATTGTGAAATGTAATGCATGTGGATTCATTACTGGCTACTGGAAACTCCATTTAAGGGATTTTACTTAAGTGTTTAAAGTACATGAGATGGAAATCAGTGAGAAAACTGAAGTATAACTGGCTACCTAATAATGACAATATAGAATATATTTAAAATTAGCTCGCAGTTTCCTGAGAATGATAGACTAACACCAGAAAATTTATTATAATCCGATTAAAGTCATCTCTGTGAATTCTTTATCATTTTACATCTGTATAGTACTTTATACTATTCAAATAGTTTTTATTTTAATGTACACTGTTTTATTTAATCACTGCCCTGATACTTCTTAGAAACAGTTCATATTTTTAAGGGTATAAAAGACTAAAAATTGGGGAAAATACTTATAGATCTGACTATCCAACAAAATTTCATACCTGCAGCCAAAAGGTCTAACAGCACTGTAGAGTGTATATGCATGTACATACATGGCCACTCTGTCTGCAAGATGCTATGGATGGAGGGGAGAGAAAGAAGAGTTTATTAATAAACTTCTATTACTGTTCAAAAAGCACCTCAAAATATTGTCAACTTACTCTTAGTGGAATGTTATACCCAAAGTTTGATCTAAAGTTGGAAGCTTCTTCTCTTGCTATGTCTGCTAAAGAACGGGCATCTGCCAGTAAGCCTGCTACTGCCTGAAAGAAAATAAGTAACAGTTTAATAGATAATGACATTCCTATTACAAATCAAGAAAAGTATGCAACTGTTGTAGGCTTACTTAATATTTTTTACAAGAGCCACTATTTAAAATAAATTTCTTTGGATTTAGTGCTTCAGTGCATTCTGGCATTTTGATGCTTGAGTATGAGATTTGGAAATATACCAACAGTAACTTCATTATTTTGTCCAGTAATCACAAAGAGAAGAAATATTTCTATCATAAATCATCTTCCCTATTTCTGACCTCATTATAAAGAATAAAACCACTGGTCTTGGTCAGGATTTATGTTTTATTTAAAGCAGTTCTATGTTCAAAAAGTTACTAAAAGTTTTGGTCTAAAAGGAACAACCTCAAATCTTCATGTTCAGCCTATTGGGTAGTAAACTACAATGCCAAACCAAAAAATGACAAACCACAAATCTTCCAACATTGGTGACATGTGCGAAGGTGCCCTAGGGCACTGCATTGAACTTGGAGATGTTGTGGGACATTTTAAGTTTGAGGGAAATATCTGTCAAAGTAGTTCAGTTTCAACATGCAGTCATTCTACATTCATTTTGATGCCATCATCTATGAAAAGCTGGGCTGTTAGTGGTTGCTGTGATAAAAGCAAGTACTGTGCAAAAATCAATGTGGAACAGGAAGTAAGGCTGGTAGCATCTAACCTGATTTCAAAGTTTGAGAAGTTATGTAGTACACATCATTGTTTGTGATTGTTAAAAAATAAAAATATTTTTTTCCTTCAGTGTATGTGCTTTTTTTTGTTTTCAAACGGCTACTAAGTTTTTAGGACATAATATACTAAGTTTATGGACCTCAGAGGAGCCCTGGTGGCACAGTGGTTAAGAGTTCAGCTGCTAACCAAAAGGTCGGCAGTTTGAATCCACCAGCTGCTCCTTGGAAACACTATGGGGCAGTTTTACTTTGTCCTATAGGGTCGCTATGAGTTGGAATCGACTCGAAGACAATGGTTTTTTTTTTTTAATGGACCTCAAAAAAAAACAAACCCCAAAACCAAACCTGTTGCTATCAAGTTGATTCCAACTCATAGTGACCCTATAGGACAGAGTAGAACTGCCTCATAGGGTTTCTGAGGTTATAATCTTTATGGAAGCAGATAGCCACATCTTTCTCCCATGGAGCAGCTGGTGGGTTCGAACTGCTGACCTTTCAGCCAGCAGCCGAGAGCTTTAACCAGTGTACCACCAGGGCTCCTCTGTATGGACCTAACTACTTAATAAACAAAACCATTAGATATTTTGGCCTAGGGAGGCCATAAAATAGTACTGAGATACTAAGGGTACCATGAACCAAGAAAGTTTGGGAACTGCAGCTTAGGAGATTTGCAGAATTTAAAAGCCAGCGATATCAGAATTTATCATTATTACTAAGTAGCCTTTTTTTCCCCTACTGCTACCTAGTAATAGTAATGATGATAATTCCCAACACATATTGGGCATTCATTACATGCAAGGTGTTTTTTACATTTATTTTTAACCTCATAACAAACAGGAACTTTTACCACCTTCATTTTGCAAGTGAAGAAAAAACTGGTGTTTAGAATTACTTCCCCAAGGTTACCTAGCCAGTATGGTTCACTGTTTAAAGAATTTACTGTTGCTTTGGACAGCTCTTACGGTGAAGTCTACTAATTCTCCAACGCTCTTCAATGTCTAGTGTTTTGCCAATTTCTAGACAGAATGAATAGCATCTGCTTCCTGGCTTTAAATAACAAATAGTACAGATTTGAAAATTTTACGCCAATAAAGTTTATCACTAAAATGCCTATGGTTTTAGCACATATGATTTTTTTTATTACACCTGAAGTTTTCTACTAAATGAAAGAATGCATGATTCACTAGTCCCCTCCTACCAACTAGGCTGCAATCTGGCAAATTTCATCAGAACATATCAGTTTTATTGGCAATAATAAACTTGTTCAGGAGAGAATGTGTTCAGGAAAAAAAAGCCTCTAAAGAAGCAAAAAGAATTTATCTGTAGTGTAGTGTCACAGTTTAATGGTTGTATTTTACTAGTCCTTTGTGTGTGTAAAACACCGTATCTCATTTAGAAACACCAAAGCAGGATGTTACTCTGCAGCATGAGTTTTGAAATCATGCATGTAGACCCAAATTTGAATCCCAGCTTTCTTCTCTCCTAGCTGTGAGTGTGTTTTCTTGTCTGGAAAAAAAATGGGATTAATATTACCCTCCTTGGGCTGTCAAGTTAAATAATTTATGTAAAGAATCCAGCATAGTACCTAATACATAGGTGTTCTCTTTCCTTTTTAATTAAGAAAATAACACTGCTGTTATTCACATCTGTTGAAACCAAAAAGCTCTTTTCAGTTAGAATGTTTAAAACCATTTCTTATTTCTTCCCCACTTTGGTGGTGGTTCCTACTATATAGGATGACATCAGTATTCACCAGTAGTGCATTTACGTATTAAGTGGCCTGGCTTGCATTTGGGCAAAGCAGGCACTGCTTTGATACCAGCTGCATGAAATCACCTACGGTGATGCTATTAAAGCTATTTAAAAGGATATGTTCACTTTCCCTTTCATTAAACATGGCACCCTGGTGGCACAGTGGTTAAGAGCTCTGCTACTAACCAAAAGGTCAACAGTTTGAATTCACCAGCTGCTCCTTGGAAACCCTATGGGACAGTTCTACCCTGTCCTATAGGGTCAGTAAGAGTCAGAATCGACTCAGCAACAGGTCTGTTTTTTTTGGTTTTTCATTAAACGTCCTTTCCTGGTGCTCCACCTTACTATAAAGGTGTTCTCTACCTGATAACATCTCCACAAAGACACAAAAAAGCTCAACAGTCTTTGCCTCTCAAACATGTATCTTCACTGGTGATCTATGCTGCCAAGATCTCTCTTCTACAGATACTCCTCACTCCCACATCCCTCTTTTTTTCTTCAAGCAACTTCATTTTTCATTACTAATCACCAATCAGGTTATGAGAATGCTAACTTTGTTGTTGTTAGGTGCCGTCACGTCAGTTCCAACTCATAGCGACCCTATAGGGCAGAGCAGAACTGCCCTATGAGGTTTCCAAGGAATGGCTGATGGAATCGAACCGCTGACCTTTGTTAGCAGCCAAACTCTTAACCACTGTGCCACCAGGGCTCCACCTTTCTTTAGAACAGTGAACTATTCAAAACCAGTAAATCTCTGTGATTACTTCTGTGAATTACTTTTGTGGCAGCTCACTGATAAGAAGCTTCTGCCTCAATGGTAAAGAAATAAATGGGTTCTTATAATCGTGTTTTAATATATTCCAGTTACTTATTTCAAAAGAAAATGGACAAGAAGGCAAAATTCAGTTTTTCTGCAATGAACATGTATTGCTTATAATAAATATATAAAACATTTTTTAGATGTGACCTTATCATTCGAACATGCCGATCCAACATAAAAATTGGACAAGAAGACAAAAAGGAACAGTTTTAGATGTGACCTTACCATTCCAACGTGCCGATCAACATTAAAAAGTCGTTTGTTGGAACCTTCTTCATAAAGTTTAGAAAGGACTAACTTTTCTACTCCAAAGACAACGCCATCTTTACACCTGATTCCAATAGCTGTACTGAAATAAACAGAAGAAAATCACTTTAACTCAGAGTACAAGAAACTTCATAATCTTAAGTTTTAAAGAAACACCAAAATAGGTAACATTTGGTTTTTCAAAAGCATTTCAAGTACTCTGAGACAAATACATCTGAAAATAAAAAAGGAGCAACAACCTAAAGTGTGATAAATACAAATAAACATTGTATGACAAGAACAAGTAGCGTATCAACTGACATAAAAAGACAGAAAATATAGTAAGTGAAAAAAGACGGTAACAAAATATGTCCAGTATAGCAGAGTGTTTGGCATAAGATAGACATGTTATAAGAAAATGTTGAATAAATTCATATCCATTAAAACTGGTACATCATATGCATAGAAAGACAGGCTGGCTATGAACTAAAAAGTTAACACTGACTAATATGGGTGGAAGAAATATGTTTAATTCTTTTCCTTTTTACTCATCTGTTTCCTTCAATTTTTCTGCAATGAACATGTATTGCTTGCAATAAGTATGTAAAATATGCTTTGCTACAACTGTTTAAAATAAATAATGAATCTTAACATAACCTCTTAAGTAAAAATGGAGAAACTGTCACCATTTCAAGATGAAAATACATTAATTACTTTATTCTTCTAATACTTTTTAATAAAGGGACTTCTCATCAGAAAAAACCAATGGGGCATACATAATAAGCAATAGTTGACTGTGTAGCTTTTTGGGTAAAATTATATCTACTTTTATATTTTTGATAATAGCACCAATAAACTCTAATCTTGTGATTTTCATTACTTCTTCATCCCCCATGGTTGAGCTTCTACTTGTCATTAATTTTTTTTACTCAAAATTTCTCTTATTACCACTTCTTCTCTCTAAATAATTAGACCAGCGATGGGTCCTTATCATTTCAGGGCTAAGGTGATTACAACATCTTTTCCCTATCTCCAACCCATCTTATTTAACATAACCTGCCTAATTCCTAACCTTGTTTTATTTTGTCATTACCATAATCTAAAAAGCGGTCTTTAATTTGAGGGGACGGTGTCAGTCACTGTTTTTACCCCCCACCCCCCCAAAAAAAATACATGCACAGACACAAGTTTTGCAAAGAATTTAACAGGTACTCTTCCCCTGCACTTTAGGTGTCTTCAATGGCTCCCCTTTCAAGTTTAAACTCTTTTGCCCAGCTTTGAAAAATCGTAAAGAATCTGGCAAAGCCCATCTAGCTTTTTCAACTTCTATTATAAATCATGTACTTTACTGAATTTAACCTCATTGTTGTTCCTATGTTCATTTTTGTCTCTATGTCTTTAGTGAAGTTATCCTAGGTACTAGAATACATTTCCACCTCACTGCTGCATATTTAAATAAATTTCTACAAACTTGCAAACTAACTGGACCTTATGCTCTACAACCTTCATGAAGCCTTTCCAATTTATTCCACCTTCCTTTTCAGAATCTTTTAAAACATACTTTATTTTAAACTAAAAGTTTTCGAAATGTGATCTACGAACTCCTAGAAATCCCTGAGACCCTTTCAAGGGGTCAGTGAGGTCAAAGACATTTTCATAATACTACAAAGACACTATTTGCCTTTTCCACTGTGTGGGCATTTGCACTGCTAGTGCAAAAGCATTGGTGGGTAAAACTGATGGCACTTTAACACAAATCAAGACAGTGGCAACACACTGTACTAGTAAACTACTAGTCATTGTATTGTTCACTGCTATGCTTTTGCCATTAAAAAAAAAAGCCACTTTTAATTAAGAATGTCCTTGACGAAACAGTAATTAATTTTATTAAGTTTTGATGCTTAAGTACTGGTCTTTTTAATATTCTGGTAATGAAACGGAAAGTACTCATAAAGCACTTCTGCTGCACACCAACATGATGGTTGCCTCAAGGAAAAAGCACTGGTATAACTGTTTTGAGTTGTAAGTTTTCTCATAGAACACTGTTTTCACCTTAAAAGAACCTCAGCCAAACTATGGTTATTTACACTTAGGTATACAGCAGACAAGTGAGCCCTGGTGGCACAGTGGTTAAGTGCTCGGCTGCTAATTGAAAGGTCCATAGTTTGAAGCCACCAGTCTGCTTCCTTAAAGATTACAGCCTTGGAAACCTTATAGTGCAGTTTTTATCTGTCCTGTTGGGTCCTTATGAGTCAGAATCAACTTCAACTCAATGGCAACTGGTTTTTCTGGCTTATGTGGCAGACACTTTTTCTAAAATGAACAAACTGACAGTATTTGTTGCCAATGATAAAGAGTTTTCAAGCAAAAATTAGAATGTTAGGTAACTGATATCCATCACTATGAATCTGTCTGCTTCCTAATACTTACATACTTTTCTGATGAGATCAGTAGTGATATTAACAAACGTGATTTATTTTGACAGTTTAAATGAAATGTGTCAACATTTGGAAAAACTATACAACTCAGTGAACCAGTATTTTCTAACTGACCAATTCATGATGTTCCAAAATCATGCATGGGTAAAAGAGCCATTCAAGGAACAACACAGGTGTAGATTTTAATGTAACAGAGTATAAACATTCACTGATATATTTTCAGATTCAAGATTGCAACTAACCTTTAAGAAATTACCAATTGTTCAGTTTGGGTGCACTATCAAAGAACAACATACTGAAAAGGCTATTAAAATATTTTTTTCAATTACATAGCTGTATGAAGCCTGATTTGCTTCATCTGCTTCAACAAAAATAATAGATTGTCTCAGCACCGGGACCCCGGTCCACAGGACGCGCTCTGCTCCCAGCACTGCTTTCTTGATAGTATGAGGTCCCCCAATTCTCTGCTTGCTTCCCTTTCCTTTTATCTCTTGAGAGAGAAAAGGTGGTGCAGGCCACACCCCAGGGAAACTCCCTTTACATTGGATCAGGGATGTGACCTGGCTAAAGGCGGTGTTACAATCCCACCCTAATACTCTTTAACATAAAATTACAATCACAAAATGGAGGCCAACCACACAATTCTGGGAATCAAGGCCTAGCCAAATTGTTACACACATTTTTGGGGGGACACAGTTCAATCCATGACAGGGTTATTACTCAGCAATAAAAATAAATAAAAAGAAGTACTGATCACTCAGCAATATGAATGAATTTCAAAATCATGATACGGAACTAAAGAAGTGAGACATAATACATTCTGTGTGCTTCCTTTTAAATGAAGCTAAAGAATAGGCAAAACTAATTTATGGTGCTAGCAATCAGAGCAGAGGTTGTCTATGGGGAAGAGTTTTTTAAATTTTATTTTGTTGTTGAGAACATACACAGCAAAACATATACCAATTCAACAGTTTCTACATGTACAATTCAGTGACACTGATTACATTCTTCGAGTTGTGTAACCATTTTCACAGTCCTTCTCTGAGTTGTTCCTCCCCCATTAAAATAAACTCACTGCCCCCTAAGTTTCCTATCTAATATTTTGAGTTGCTGCTGTCAATCTGATCCAGTTTAGATAGTTCTTAAAAGAGGATAATGCTCAAGGCAGATGTTTTTTACTACTTAAGCTAAACTATTGTTTGGTTTTAATAAGACTTCAGAGGATATTTTTGGTTTAAGGTTTTAAGATTATCTCAGGGCAGTAGTTTCAGGAGTGCATCCAACGTTCATGACTCCAGGAAGTCTCAAGTCCGTGAGAATTTGAAATTCTGTTCTGTATCTTCCCCCTTTTAATCAGGATTCTTCTACAGAATCTTTGATCGAAATGTTCAGTAATGGTAACCAGGCACCATGCAGTTCTTCTGGTCTTATGACAAAGGAGGCAGTTGTTCATGGAGGCATTTACCAACACATTCCAAATCCTCCTTCTATTCCTGATGCTACTTCTTCCTCTGTTGCTCCAGGAGAATAGAGACCAATTGTTGTGCCTTGGATGGCCACTTGCAAGCTTTTAAGACCCCAGGCACTACGCAACAAACTAGGAGGTAGATTAGAAGCACTAAACGTGTTATTAGGCCAGTTAACTGGGATGTTCCATGAAACCATGACCCTAAACCTCCAAACCAAGAAACCAAATCCCATGAGGTTTTTGGTTGTACATAAGCAGCCTCAGCAGCTGGTTTTGTTTTTTTTTTTTGGTCATTGTAAATACATCACACAACTTTTACCAGTTCAACTTTTTACAGGTATACAGCAATTACAATAATCAGCTGTGCAACCCTACCCTTAATGTGATTTTTCCATCACTGTTTAACTCCCCCTATGCCCCTCCCTGTCACTCCTGGTAACCACTAATAAACTTTGTTCTCTATTAAAAAATAATAATAATAGATTGATCACAGACGCAGATATGAGAATTCAAGTGTTTTCTATTAAGCATTAAGAGATTTTCAAAAATGTAAAACGACGACATTCTTCTTAATTTTTTTTTTATACTCTGGATGCAGTGCAATGGATCACTTGTGTGTGGCCTTTCTCGCCGTAGTCTTGTAACTCCCACCCAAGTGATTGGGTGGGACTGTGCAAATAAGATAATTGTGGCCCACCAAGGGGACTGGTCAGTTTTGCCTTAAAAGAGAGTCAATTCTAGAGCAGAGAGAAGATCCCACCACCACCAAGGAAGAACAACCAGAAGCAGAGACCCTTTGGACCCAGGATCCCTGCACTGAGAAGCTCCCAGAACTAGGAGACAGAGAGAGAGAGCTGTAACCCTGAAGATGGTGAGAAGCACTAGCAGGAGAGACCTGGCAGCAGAGACTCCGCAGCGGGAGGGCTTCCAGGCCCACAGAGCAAGAAAGCTGACTGCCTTTTGGCAGGGGCTGAGGGGCCAGCGAGAGGCGTGCCTGTGAGCACAGCTGGGAAGAGTCTGTCCAGATGGAAGAACTGTACCCTGAGTGTTACTAAACCCGAATTTTAACTGTTACTTCCCTAATTAAACCACATGATCATGAGAACTGTCTGTGACTTCTGTGTGGCCACTACAATGAATTATCGAACCCAGAACAGAAGTAGAGTGCCATGTGGGTGATGGCTGATGTTGGAATTGGTAAAGATGGCGGAGAGAGAAGGCATGTCTGACCTCCGCCTCACAGGAATCAGCCTTGGGCTGCTGATCTTGATTCTCCCTCCCCCTTGTGAAGAGACAGGTCAGACACTACCCTCGTGCCATTTTTACACTGGAAAACTTGTTTTTTATTTAAAACGTTATTTATGTTAACATGTAATTCAGTTTAGTATTATTTTAAATGAATAAATATTTTTCACTTTTTTTTATTATGGTAAATATCGACAGAACCTATAACTCATATAAATAGAAGCTCTTTGATGTCCTTAACTATTTTAAAGAGTAAAGGAGTCCTCAGACCAGAATTTTGTGTACATTTTTGTTCTAAACAATCTAATCCTTTTAGTTATATTGCACAAGCCTTCTTTCATGTCTGACTCCTCAGTGAGATTAAAGGGGAAGATTATAATCTTTCCCTTTTTTTCTTTTTCATATTACCTTTCAGGGGCAAACTTTTATAAAACAGTTATGATCATACTATATGTATTTTTAACAACAGAACTTTTAAGTATTCACTTGCATGTCATTAACTATTTGTTTTGGTACTTCCTTTGCTTCACATGTTGTTGTTACTGTTAGGGGCTGTCCAGTTGGTTCTGACTCATAGCAACCCTATGTACAACAGAACAAAACACTGCCTGGTCCTGTGCTATCCTCACAGTCGTTGCGGTTTGTGCCCACTGTTGCAGCCACTGGGTCAATCCATCTCACTGAGGGGCTTTCTCTTTTTCACTGACCCTCTACTTTACCAAGCATGATGTCCTTCTCCAGGGACATAATACTAGTTGGACCCCGAACTGCGTTCCGTAGGGTTTTCAATGGTTGTGATCTTTCCAGGCTATTCTTCAGAGGTTCCTCTAGGTGGTTCAAACCTCCAACCCTTGGGTAAGCAGCAAAGTGCATTAACTGTTTGCAACACTCAGAGATTCTGTTTAATATAGTAGGTGCTCAAAAATATTTGACTTTTAAATTATCAAGATTAAAATGTTTCTCTGAAAGAATTTATCTCCTTCTGATGTAGGAATACAATCTTAAGTAATTTTATTTAACTAAATGTTTCCTATGAGCTTATATGCCACACTCAAGAAAATGACTTTATAATCTGCTTTTTCTATTTTTCACGTTCTGTGCTCACACAGTACTTTAAAAAATTCCAAATGTTTTCACATATATTTTCTTCTTTCTATGGCAACCCTGGTGAAGTAGGTAGGGTAGATGTCAACATCCCAACCTAACAGATTTAAAAAAACTAAGATTCAGAGGACTTAACAGAGTAACTCTGTATCACATTACTTGTAACTACTAGCTACGGGGAAAATTCACATCTTCTGATCCTCCTCCAGTATTCTAACGTATCAGGTTAAACAGATCCCTGTACAGATGAAGTTTCCTAGTATTTTTATGCAGAAAAAATACATTCATTTTTTAAATTACATTTCTTCAAGTCTGCTTAAGTGTGACTGTTTTAATCATATTTAGACACGCTTTACAGTACACAAATTCCTAAGATACACAGCTCCCTATAGCCTAGCCTCAATTTTCTGGGTTACAGATGGTTTCAAAATACATCTTCAGCTTTTCGTAGTCAAGACTTTTCTTACCAGTTTCCTATACCAATGAGATGGTAACGAATGGAAAGGAGGAAGAGAAAAACTCTTAACTCCCCCAAGTCCTTCTCCAGCTCTTTGTTCTAAAAGCTCATCCTCCTTTATCAGCCAGAACAAATGTTTCAATTTTTCAATATGCGACTCTCTTCTGAATTCTATCAAGCTTTGTATACAATGACAAATACACAAACCTAAAATTCTTAACAGCTTTACTTCCATTACATTGTTGTTAGGTGCCATTGAGTTGATTTTTGACTCCTAGCAATCCCATGTGTCAGAGGAGAAATGCCCCCATAGGGTTTTCTAGGATGTAATCTTTACAGAAGCAGATTACCTCATCCCTTCTCCCAAGGAGCCTCTGGATGGGTTCGAATCGCCAACCTTTCAGTTAACAGCAGAGCACTTAACCCTTTGCACCACCAGGGCTCCTTACTTCCATTATAGTACCAGATATTCATAGTGTGCTAAGTATCAATAGCTCTCACAACACATTTAAACAGAAAATAAACTAGCTTCATTACAAATCCCAAAAGAAAACTTAAAAGGTATTTCTGCTCAAAAATTTTAAAATATTTCATAAGCCATTAGAAATCCATATACCTTCTTTCTACCACCCAGACCATGGCACACTGAATGAACATTTATTCATTCACTACAATTAAGGGTTTGCTACGTGCCAGCTGCTAAACAAAAGGTCGGCAGTTCGAATCCATCAGTTGCTCCTCGGAAACTCTATGGGGCAGTTCTACTCTGTCCTATAGGGTCACTGTGAGTCAGAATGGACTTGATGGCAACGGGTTTTTCGTTTATGTGCCAACACATGCAAAAACAAATAATAGAATACTGAAGCCACTAACAGAAAGTGAAAAAACCTCTGTATTTTATATATGGACTTTTCCAAAATTCTGGAAACATTTCCCTAATCCACCTTTATTCCAAAGGTCTTAATTGTAATGGAAAAACAGAGCCCGAACACCAAAACTCTGTTTGTTTAGTAAGCCTGAAAAAAAATTTTTAAGAGATTTGAATGAGATGTTAAGTAATGGCTGAAAGAAATTGTTTAAAGAAGTTCTTTAATTCATCCCAAACCTACTTTAGATTGAAAAATACAATGATCACGTAAGTCTAAAATTTCTTCAATAAAAGACACATATAAAATTTGTCAATAAAGCTAATAATTTGACAAAGATGTTATGGGGTGCCAAGGAATAATTTTAGTGCATTATCCTAATGAATAAGAGACAAAGTAAAGGAAGGGAGCTCAACATGTAAATCTTAGTAATCCTACACCTTTTAGAGAGTGACAGCAGCAATGGAGAAGAATAAAAAATCCCTGCTGAGACAAACAGGTGACTAACTGTACAGGACATTTAAAATACAAGATGTTCGAGAAATAAAACACAAGATTACAAGGTCACAAACCTAATGGCCAAGGAAAACAACGATGTAAATCAAGAATTTAAAAGAGGAAAATGGACTAGCAAGGATGAGTTTGTCTCAACTACAGTGTATATCTGAGACACAGTAGAGTACCTAAGTGGGCAATTCTGCAATCAACTGGAAATACAGAACTGGGATTCGTGAAAAGGTCTGGCCTAGAAAAAGATCTTAAATGACTAATTGAGGTTATTTTAGGGCATATACCAGTTTATGGCAAAGTAACATAACAAAGCCTAATTACCAAAAATACAGAAAATAAAAGGACACATTTAATCATACTGGTCAAAACATACTTATTTCAAGTAAAACAATGTTTCTTACCTACTATTTTCCACAGCCTTCATAGCATACTCAACTTGAAAAACTCTTCCATCAGGTGAGAATGTAGAGGCTGACAGGTCATACTAGGGGGAAAAGTAACAATAAGCTTATAATAATGTATCTTTTGGCAATAATAACCATACAACTTTCCCCTCCTCTAAATGGCTTAAGATAAGGCATATGTGTTATATCCTAACAAAGACTGTTTTGAAGAGGAAGGGGAAGCATGTCAAAGCAGCAACAACAGCTAAGGGACTGTCTGTCATAAATTTTAGATTTCTGCTAGTTATGTCTTAGGTGAACTCAGAGAACTTTTTCCTCACAGAACACAAAGCTCATATTTAAAAACTAAAAGATTCATAGCTATGTCGCTAACAATATGACATGGACAAATCATTTAACATTCATCAAACATTTAATGAGCATCTATTATATGTTAACCAATTGCTGTGGAGTCGATTCCGACTCATAGCAACCCTATGTATACCCTGGTGGTATAGTGTTTAAGCACCACGGCTGCCAACCGAAAGACTGGCGGTTTAAATCCACCAGGCGCTCCCTGGAAACTCTATAGAGCAGGTCTACTCTGTCCACTGAGTTGGAACGAACTCCAAAGCAATGGGTTTGTTTTTTGGTTTTTATTCTATGTTAGCTACTATAAGGAAATACAAAGATGATTACTCATTCATGAACTCTTTCACTTTCAAATCAGATCAGGCATGAATCTAGGTGATGGAGATACAGCAATAAGCAAGAAAAAATAGTATGATGAAAATAAAATAGGGTGATGTGACAGACTGCAGGACTACCACAGACTGGGTGATTAGGGAAGGCCTTGCTGGGACAGCTACATTTAGGCTGAGTCAAACTTAAATGACAAGAACTAGCCATTTAAAATATGGAGGGTCTTCCTGACATCCAGTACAAAGACATCAAGGTAGAGACAGCCTAGCACAGTCAAGAAACAAAAATAAGGTCACTGTGTCTTGAACACAGTAAGCAGTAGAGAGAATTGTAGCCTATGTCAGAGAGACAGGCAAGGGCCAAATCATGTCGGGTCTTCTAAACTGGATTAGGAAGTTTATATTTTATTATAAATGCAATAGGAAGTCATTGGAGGCGTTTAAGCAGGAAGGTGGTACGTTTTTAAAAACATTACTCTGGTTTTGTGTGGAAAATGAATTGTAAAGAGGGAAGGAAAGTAAAAGCAGAGAGAAGATAGTCCAGAAGTAGTGGTGGTGGCTCTGAGTAGAGAAGAGATGGGAGGTAGAAAGTCTTGAGAGTAGTAAAAAAAAAAAACAAAAAACTTGCAAATGGACTGGCTCTGGAGTAAAAAAGGAATTAAAAGATGAATCTGATTTTTTTTCATTTAAGCAACTAGAATTGGACCATCGAGGAGCTGATGACTGACGGAAATGCAAAATGGCCAGGGGAGGAGAAAACCAAAAGCCATTCTGGACATGTAGAGTTTGAAATGCCTATTAAAGTGGAGAGAAATGTCAAGTAGACAGACAGGTATATATATCTGGAGTTCTTAGGAGAAGTGAAGACAGGAGATAAGTCTTAAACAGTGCTGCTGTCTGAGTCTCAGTTCCCAAATTTGTTAAACGGAGATCATTAACTCTACCATTGTTAATACTAAAATATCCTATACGGTTATATTATCAAGTATTTTTAAAGGTTTTAAAGGGTTTGTAAAATGAAGCACGGTTAATTTAATGTTAGTTACAAAGTCAATTTGCTACAATATGCGCTTATCGATTATCTACTAATCCAAAAATCGTATGACTAACTTTAGAATCTCATAACCAAATGGATTAACCCATTCAAAACATGAGCTGCCTATTATTAAACTCGGAACATCAGTATTTGGGCTTAATGCCGAGTATCACGATCTTGTGAACAAGTAGGAATAGATGAACTGAGAAACCAATTATTCACTGCCTCTAGTGCAAACACCCAATCGGTATTTCGAAACAAAAAATTTATTTTCTGTTTAAGAAGTACGCAAAGGAGTAAGCAAAGAACTGCATATATGCAGTAAATTTAACAAAGGTAAGTAGTAAGCCAATCAAATTAACAATTCAGTCCAAATCCAAAATCCTCAATAGTGTGTTTATTAAAAGTTGGAAGAGTTTTAAGTCCCTAGCTAATCATTTACATGTTTACGGTGTCAATGCCTAAAAGTGCTGTAATTTGTGCAGGAAAAGCCAGACAGAGGAAAAACTGAAAGGACTCGTCAGATTTAGCTTTTCTACCCATTTTTCTTACTAGCTCTGCCTCGATATGGTTTCCAGTGACTCTCATACTGAGCGGTCGATCAGTATACTTGAAGGGAAAATAGAGAAGGTCCCATGAGTCAGCAGTACCCTAGGCGGTATACAGAAAAATATATAGAAAAAGCATGCGTCTCAGATCTTGGAATCCCAAGCCTCAGTGGTTATTAAGAGTCCAATTGTCATCCACACACTATTTCAGGTCCCACAAGTTTCCACTTTCGGTTTTCCTAAGAGGCTAAAGAAAGTGACTCAGCAATCCAAATGTGCCCCCAAATCTCACTGCTGCGCCGCCAAGCCAGCTACACCAGAGCTAAGCTTCAGGAGTCCCCGTCACCTCAGGCGTAGGCCTAGAAAATAGCGGACGAAAGACCGCCGGTCTCCGGCAACTGGAGAGCCGCCCACGCGGCCGAAGGCAGTCTCAGCACACAGTCAGGGCCCCGAGTCAGCCACACCCGCCCATCCGAGTTCCCTTCAACACTAATCCTTTGGCTAGTCTATTACACCGAGAGATAACAAACTCACCCCGGTGCCGATAGAGCTCATCGTGCTAAAACAAACGAGACGCGTAAGGCTTCAAGGCCTAAAGCGCTCCCCCTACACTGCAGCACTGCACGAGCTAGTAACAGGCTCTCTCATTGGCTGCACTTTCAACCAATCACTTTCTCTCTATAAATGGTTCCCCCCCTTCTTTAGCCCGTGGAACGTAGAGGATTATGGAAAAGGAGGGGATAATCGTAGCTGGCGGCGCAAATGTATGGGAAGCAGTGGAGGTGGGGTTAGAAGAGGTTAAGTGTTCGTGCTTTCTTAGTTTGGATCCTGGGTCGTTCGGCAACTTGCAGTCATTAAGTTGCTTAAGAAGGTGCTTCATTCCTTTCTGCAGTAATTATCTCTGATATTCTCTCTCTTTACCGTATTCTTTCTTGAAGCAAAAAGGAGAGATGTTCGTATACTCTTAAAAAAGACCCGAGAAGCACGAAGAGTGGTAGAGAGGTAACACCCCGTTCTTGGCGTCCTGGTTCTGACCGAGTCGGTTAACGGTATCTATCCCCTTCACGCACGTGTTTTCAGGCCCTTGAGAAGGAAATTGTACGTTAATTTGTATCATTGCGCTCAGGTTGGAATTTTACAAAAGCATTAATGTTCTCTATGACTATAATAGTATTAAGGATAAGACTAATTCAAGAGATTTATTGAGCGCTACTATGTTCCAAGTACTCTGGTGATACAAGAAGGAACGTGACATACTCTCTATCCCTCATGGAGTTTACAGTCAGGGGAGGAACTAGGCAATAAAGCGCAAATAGGCAAAATAATTGTACCTTGTGGTAGATAAATCTTAAGGGAGAAGAGTGCTTGGATAGATAATGGAGGTGCAAATTTAAGTAGGACTGGTGCTTAAGGAATGACTTTGAATGAGTGATAATTAAACTGAAACCGGGGTGAGAAAACGCTAAGAGGGGTTCATGGAACAGCAAGTGCAGAAGAGAACTTGGCTTGTTCTAGGAAGTCGGGTCAGTGTGCCTTGGCATGGTGATTAAATGGGGAGAGTGGCAGGAAGTGATGGACACGGGACCAGATTATGTAGTAGCTTGGATTTTAATCTGACACTAAGTGGGAGGCTATCAGCATTTTTTTTTTAACCTCTGAATACTTCAGTGCGTATTTCCAAAACTAAAAAACAAGGACATTATCCTACGTGACCACAGTACAATTATGATAATCAGAAAGTTAATGATACTGTTATCCAGTCTACAGACATTATTCAAATTTTGGCAATTCTCTCAATAATACTGTTCAGAGCAGAAGCAAATCCAAGATACCACACGTTGCATTCAGCTGTCATGTCTCTAGTCTCCTTTAATCTTTTGGAAAAGAATTCCTTAGTATTTCCTTACGTTGGGTGATATTGACTTTTTAAAAAAAAATACAAGCCATTTATTTTGTAAAGTATTCCTCAGTTTGGGCTTGTCTGATGCTTTCTCATTAGATTCAGGTGATGCATTTTTGGCAGGCAATACCACAGAAGTCACCTTACCTCAGAATATTATAATTAGGAGGCACATGATGTCAGTTTGTTCCATTACTAGTGATGTTAACTTTGATCACTAGCTTAAGGTTTCGCCATTATAAAGTTACTATTTTTCCTTCTGTAATAAATATCTTGTGAGGAAATACCTTCAGACTATGTGAATATCCTGCTACTCCTCAAACTTTCACCCACTAATTAGAGTACCTAGTGATAATTCTCATCTATGTCAGTTATAACGATGGTGCCAAGTGGTGATTTTCTAATTTCATTATTCCACATTTATTATTGGCTTTTAACTGTGAGGTCATCAAAACAGTTTTTAAGCAGAAAATTATATGATGTGATTTAAATTTTTAGATGATCTCTTGCTGCTGTGTGGATAATAACTAAGGGAAAAAATAGAATTAAGGAGACTAGTTGAGAAGCTAGTGCAGTCGTGGGCAAACAGTAATGGGGGATGATTTGGACTATAGTTGTGGCAGTGGATATGGAAATATGTGGGTGGATTTTAGAGGCATCTAGGAGCCCTGGTGGCACAGTGATCAAGCACTCGCCTGCTAACCAAAACGTTGGCAGTTGGAGCCCACTAGCTGCTCTGGGGAAGAAAGATGCGTCAGTCGGCTTCCATAAAGATCCTTTGGAAACCCTATGGGGCAGTTCTACTTTGTCTTACAGGGTTGTTATGAGTCTGAATTCGACTCGACGGCAATGGATTTGGTTTGGTTTGGGTTTATATCTACATCTATTCAGGGCTTGCTGAAGAATCGGATGTAAAAGGAAAAGAGGAATTTCAATTGTTTTTTCCTGCTAATGAACTCTTTTGGTAAGGAGCATTATAATCACATGGTTAAGTTTTATTCTTGAACAAATGAATAAAGGATATGAATTAACTTGGAAGACCAGTCACTTACTTTGCCCCACACTCACTGAAACTTTCTCGTTGTAGTTCTTTCAGGAGCGGTCCTGATTTAGACTCACCCAGAGCTCCACAGAAGAAAGACCTGGTGATCTGCTCTCATAAAGATGACAGCCTAGAAAACCCTATCAGGCAGTTCTACTCTGTCACATGGGGCTGCTATGAGTCAAAATCAACTCCAGGGCACTTAACAACAACAGGCCAAAACAGTGCTGAAGAACGCAGAAAGTTGTAGTCATAGGAGGGTGTATCCTCAAGGTAAACTGCAAGTACTCCAAACTTGTTTAGGGGTCCAGTTAAACTTTTAATTAACTACTTGTGTGTGATAAACACTGAGTACCAAGTGCCTACCTTATATTCATTAATAATTAGGAAATTGGGGCTCTTTCTGAACTCATTGTTGGCTGAACTGCCTAGTTGTGAGCTGGATTGTGTCTTTGGAAGAACTTATTGAATTGCCTCAGGTTCGTGATTAGTTGCGTGATTCATCAGAAGACTTAAAAGGTGTAGGTGTTGGTTGGTTGGTTTTAATTAAGCTGCTCCGAAGTATTTTTGGAAGTAGGCAGTACCTAATAAGCAAGCATACAAAACCAGTATATAATTTACATGTATCTTTTTTATAGGGTGGTAAGCTTATTGATGTTATCAGGGACTATTTTATTCTCCTATACACGAGAATACCTAACACAATGCCTTGCACTTGGTGAATATTTAATAAATGTGTTGAATATGCAAATAAATATAATTAAATTCAGTTTCTAGTTACATTTGCCAAGTTATAAAATAATCACAAATAAACCAGAGTTTGCAATTGCAAGAAAAATTTGTTAGAAGTAATTATAATAATATTTTAAACTTAAAAAATTTAAATATTCTGCTTAAATTTCATTTGCACTTTGAGGAATTTAAACATATAACATTATTTTATGACATGTTATTATTTTTTTCTTTTTTAAAATTGATTACTTCAGGAAATGTGATGCCCAACGTGTTTAGCTTTTAAATATTGTATTTTAAGAATGGTAGTGTTTGTTGTTAGGTGCCATCGAGTGGATTACAACTCATATCCTAAAAATCCTTTGATAGCCTCAGGTTTAGGTTTTAAGTTGCAGTTCTGAGAAGTAGGTTGGAAACCCCTCCCAGCTCAACTACAGAAATTTGCAGAATTCCTCATCTAGAGAGGTTCCTCAGTATGCATAGGATATCATTCCATAATCTCAGTTTGTCATAATATGGTCAAAATCAGCTTCTGCACTTTTCCTCTTAGAATTTACATTCTTTACCTTAAGATTTTAGTGGTTCTTTCCAGCTTCTGTCATTTCAGCAGGATGGTAATAACAACCCCTGAAGCTGCTATTGCTCGACTATCAGGCATTTACCCCACAAAGCCTTTATTTTAATTGAATCAGAACCCCCTTTTTTCCATTTAGCTTTCCTGGACCCAACCGTGCTAAAGGAAAGTAACTATGCTTGGTTGTCCTTTAGTGTAACTGACCTCTTAGAGGTTGGACCTTTTTTTTTTTTTAATGCTGAGCCCAAAACTGTAGGAATCCAATAAGCCATTTGATGGGTGTTGGACAGCCTTCATACGTCTTGATGTAAAGAATATAATACATTGAGCAGCAGATATTTAAAAAAAAATTTCAGAAAAAAGATACAATGACCCAGTAATAACTTGCATAAACTTTCAGTGAACTCAGGGTATACACTAGTTCGTAAAAATTCTTAAATCTGCTAAAGCACAGTAAATAAATATTCTAAAACCTAACAAAATACTTCTGAAATACAGAATTAGCAGTATAATGCATATATTTAGAGAATGGGAATAACAGAACAAATCTAGTTTCTATGAAAGGAGAGAAAAAAAACCTTCATCACTGAAGTGCCCGGCTAGCTCAGTCGGTAGAGCATGGGACTCTTAATCCCAGGGTCGTGGGTTCGAGCCCCACGTTGGGCGCAAGGTTTTTGATTATGGCATGTTATTTTTCCCAAATATCTTGAAGTCTTAACTAAGACGAGTTCTTTAAATCAAATTAATTTAAATACTCTCAATATTAACCAGATCTCTGGAAGAAAATATTGCAGACCAAAAACGTCGAAAGTTGCGCTTGCGCACTTGAAAGCACACGATCCCCTTTCCTTTTCATTTCGCCGATCATCCCAACCTCCCAGTCTAGCACAGAGGAAACTAAAAGACCACTGTTTAAGGCTGAGATTGGCATTCGGTGTTACTATGCATGCGTGTATATTTGCTTGTATAAGAACAAAATTCTGAGCCCCCATTTTGGCTGCTTTTCGAAAACTTAGAGAACCGATGTAAAGGCAGTTGGGGGCGCCGGAGGACTCTTAAGAACCAATTTATCCCCCTGTTTATTTTCCTTTTTTTACCTGTCAGTACAGGGCCTGTCCTGGGGGAAAACAAATCCCCATGAGAATACACAATGATAAATAGTTCTTTTTGTAGTCAGATTTATACAACTATTGCATATATCAAAATTTTCTTCAGTTGTTCTTGAGACTATATCTATTAAAAAAAAAAAAAAAAACCGCTGCTGTGGAGTCGATTCCGATTCATAGCGCCCTTACGGGACAGGGTACAACTGCCCCCGAGGGTATCCAAGGAGCGGCTGGTGGATTCCAACTGCCGACCTTTTGGTTAGCAGCCTGAGCTCTTAACCACTGCGCCACTAGGGATGCATTTTATCCATTAATTGGCTGGATATTGGGAAATCAATATTCTGGTGAAGACGAGGCTCTGAGAAAAAAGCGCGAAAGAACTGAGATACGAGAAGTAGGATGGGCAATTAGTTATTTGAAGGAGGCGGTGTGTTTCCGTCTTCTTCCTCCTTCACTGAGAACTCTTAAGTAATCAGAGAACACCCACACACTCGCACCACCACATCTAAGCACGTTCCAGGTTCTCATGCAGGGGACCCCGTAAGTGAACGATCCATGTTCCTACCTGAAGCCAACCTTACATAAAGCACTAGATCCTATATCTTCTGAATGTTATCCACCAACTCTTCCCCTACCACACAATCAATTTTTCTCCTTTTTTTTTCGGTTCGAGCCCTGGCGGTGCAGAGGTTAAGCGTTTTGCTGCTAAACATAAAGGTCAACAGTTCGAAACCACCTCCTTGGAAACCCTACGGGGCAGTTCCACCCTGCCCTTATAGGGTCGCTGTGAGTCCGACTCCATGCCAATGGTTTTGGTTTTTGATATTTCCCTTCAGCATACAAACATGCTGTTATTTCTCTATCTTAAAACCTTGACACAGTTTCCCCGCAGGCTATTATTCTATTCCTCTGCTCTCCTTTGGAGCAGACGTCTTCACCCAGTTTCCTGCACTCACCATTCCTCTCACCCCATCTTTTAATCCTGCAAATGCCCTTCAGTCAAAGATCAAAGAAACACCTGTAGTTAAATTTAGTGCTCAATGCTGGGAGGAAGAGCACAAGCTGAGGAATCATGGGGTGCCTCAGTAATAAGAGGGTATTAGAAAGAACCTGTTATAGGATTTGGACTTTTGTTGGGTCATTTTGGGGAGGGCTTAAGAAATCGGGGGCTCTTTCTGGATTGGGCACTCTCAAAAAGTGGGGGAAATTCTATGATCTTAATAAATTTTACGTACAGGGAGGGTAGAGTAAAGATGAAATTGGTAAACAAAGCCACTCATTTAGCAAGAGAGGGGAGTTTGTTCTTTTGTGCTGCACTGAGACCTTATTTGAAGTAGATGTTCTGTAAGAAGCAGGAGAAAATGATGGTTTAGTTGTGCCAGATTATTACCAGGATGTCAGGGGCTGTTTCTTTCTCAACCTAATCAGGATTTCATTCTATCCCACAACTAGTCTACTGAAACTGCTCATAGTGGCGCGGTGGTTAAGAGCCGTGGCGAGCTAGGACTGCTAAACAAAAGGAAAGGTCGGCAGTTCGAATCCACCAGCAGCTCCTTGGAAACCCTATGGGGCAGTTCTACTCTGTTCTATAGGGTTTCTGAGTCGGAATCGACTCTACAGCAACTGGGTTATCATCTCCACATTACTAAATCTAATTTCCAATTCCCAGTCCTAATCTACTTGACCTAACATAAATTTGTTACAAATTTGATTACTCCCTCCGGGATACACTTCTTCCCTTGGCTTCCAGGATACTAATGCTCTCTTGATTTCTGCCTATCTCACTGGTTCCTCTTTTTCTCTCCTACCTCTTAAACTTTGGAATGCTCCAGGGCTGGATCCTTGGTCCTCTTCGCAGCTCCATTCACACATTTGGTGATCTCATGGCTTTAAATACCAGCTATTTGCTGATGATTCCCAACTTTATATTTACAGCCCTGATTTCTTTCTTAAACCCCAGACATACATACATTTGGATGTCTAGTAGCTGTCTCAAATTTAACATGTACAAAATGTAACCTTGATCTTTGCCCCCAAAATTGTTTCACCTGCAGTTTTCCTTTTTTCAGTTGATGCTAACACCACCTTTCTAGTTACTTGCTTGTTGTGTGCTGTCAAGTCGATTCTGACTCATATAAAAACCCTATAGGACAGAGTAAAAACTGCCCCATAGGGTTTCCAAGGCTGTAATCTTTATGGGAGCAGACTGCCACATCTTTCTGGTGGGTTTGAACCATGGACCTATCTGTTAGCAGTTGAGTAAACAACCTTGGCTACATTGTTGACTGCCCTTTCTCTCCCACTGGAAACCCTGGTGGCGTAATGGTTAAGAGTTCAGCTGCTAACCACAAGATCGGCAGTTCAAATCTACCAGGCGCTCCTTAGAAACCCTATGGGGCAGTTCTACACTGTCCTACAGGGTCACTTTGAGTCTCGACTATGAGTCGGAATCGACTCGATGGCAACGGGTTTCTCTCCCACTACTATTAAGAGTGACCTCCAATAGTCTCCTCCCATACTGACTCTCTTGGCCACATGACTAATTTGTCCCAGTGAGACATTAGAAAGCCTGCTGCAAGTAGTATCTTCAGTGTTTACATATCGTGGCTTGGATGCAAGTTGCGAAGTAATAAGTTTGAGTACCCTGAGGCTGCCATACTGTGAGGGTGCCTAAGATAGTCACATGGAGAGAGGCCATATGAAGAGCACTGAGACACCAGACTTTTAAGAAAGCTATCTTTCATCCCAACATACCAACTGAACACTGGCGAGTGAATGTTCTCAGCTAACGCCACATGGAGAACTGCCCAGCTGGACCTTGCTTGAATTCCTGACTCACAGAATCAAGCAAATAAAACTTTTAAGACACTAAGATTTTTGATAGTTTGTTACACAGCAACAGATAACCAAAACACCCACATCAAATCTATCATTAAATCCTGTTGATCTACCTTCAAGATATATCTGGAATCAAGACTTCTCTGCTATCACCCTGGTTTAAACCTTTCCTTCTCACCTGAATTACTGTCACAGTCTCTTAACTGATCTTTTTCAGCCTGTCACCTTAAACTCCAGTACAGTATCAAAAATAATCCATTTGAAACAAGTCAATCTTGCCATTACTCTGCTCAAAACCCTCCAAAGGTACCCCATTTTATTGGGTAAAAGCAGATGTCCTTATACCAAGATGTGCCCACCCCTCTGCCATCTCTGACTTCATCTCCTATTACTTTTCTTCTTGCCCACTCCACACCAGCCAAACAGACCTCCTTGTGATCCTGGAACATGCCAGGAGTACTCTTTCTTAGGGCTCTTGCCCTGGCTGTTTTTTCTTCCTGAATTACTTTTCCTCCTAGATCTCTACACGGCTACCTCAGTCACTTAATTTGTCTTTGTTCAAGTCACTTTCTTAATCAGCTCAACTCTGGCCACCCTAACTGGCAACTGCCTCACCATCCACCTTACCCTATTTTTTCCATAAGACATAAAAAAATAAAACCTGTTGCCATCTAGCAGATTCTGACTCATAGCAATCCTACAGGACAGAGCAGACCTACCCCATAGGGTTTCTTTACCTGAGCACACTGTCACATCTTTTTCCTGCAGAGCAGCAGGTGTGTTCAAACTACCGACCTTCTGGTTAGCAGGGAAGCGTTTAACCATTGCACCACCTGGGCTCCTATTCATAGCAATATCATCTTATTACATAATGCACTATTACCTGTCCCCCCACCTCTTCCCACTTCCTTGGAATGTAGGCCCCACAAAGGCAGGGATTTTTGTCTGTTTTGTTTACTGTTGCATCTCAAACACCTAAATTAGTACCTGATAGATGTTCAAGAAATGTGTTCAACTAGTGAGTTAAGGAGGGCTACATTCCTTACTCATAACAACCCTATAGGACAGAGTAGAACTGCCCCATAGGGTTTCCATAGGGTCACTATGGGACAGAATTGACTTGACGGCAGCAAGTTTGGTTTTTGGTTTACATTCCTTAACTTCAGCCACTAGATGTCTATACCTGCCACTTTACACCTAGCTATAAAGCTCTATTTAAGTCAAAGATCTTGTTTTTGATATTATTCAGTGATGGGAAAACTTCTCATAAATAATCCAAATTCAGTAAAAGACAGGGTCAATATGACTACAAAGTAGAAAATTTATTTTTCTGCAAAAAAAACCCAACCCCACTGCCACCAAGTCGATTCCTACTCATAGCAACTCTATAGCGACCTCTGCAAAAAGAGGTAATCAACTGACAACCCTAGCAATTCTACTAGGAGATTTCAACACTGAGAATTAGAAAGGCCTTGCTCCTATGGACCTTATAATCTAGCAAAAAGGATAAAACCTACCTAGAAACGATTACAAGGTAAAAGTTACCACGTACTTAGATAATGTGCTTATGGGAAAGATCACTACTTTGTGAGAAACAGTACTGTAAAGGTGTGGTAGGCCAGAGGACATTACCCCTCTGCCAAAAAAATAAATAAACCTGTTGCTGTCCAGTCAATGTTGACTCATGGCAACCCCATGTGTTACAGAATAGAACTTCCCCATAGGGTTTCCTTGGCTGTAACCTTTATGAAAGCAGATTACCAGGCCTTTCTTCAGCAGTGCCACTAGGTGAATTCAAACCACCAACTCTTAGACTGGTGGCCAAGTGCAAATCGTTTGAGGCACCCAGGGACCTCTAGAGGACATCAGAATATATTAGGAAGCTGGACAGCAAAACTGAACTTTGTTTTATTTACTGGCTTAACATGGCTTTCAAGTTCTTCATGATCTAATCTTAAATGATATTAGCAATGCCTGAACTCAATGCCACCCTTTGTTGTTCGGTGACGTTGAGTCGATTTTCGACTCATAGCAACTCTATGTGACAGAGTAGAACTGCCCCATATGGTTTTCTAGGCTGTAATCTTTAGGAGAACAGATCGCCAGGTCTTTCTCCCGCAGAGCCACTGGGTAGAATCAAACCGCCACCCTTTAGGTTAACAGCTGAGCGCTTAACTGTTGCACCACCAAGGCTCCTATGCCACCCTTTGCTTTAGCAATATCAGATCACCCCCTTTAAGATTTTGTGTACACAGAGAATTCACATTTGCTTATGTTCACGTAGCCTGGAATAACCCTCTACAATCGAAATTCTACTCATCCTTCTTCAGTGAAGCTTTCCTCAACTCCTGGTCAGAATTTATAGACAGTCCCCGGGTTACCAACAAGATCAGTTCCTAAGTCTGTCTTTAAGTCGAATTTGTAGGTAAGACAGAACAGATACATACAGTTCTTATTTAGCTTCAGTTAGTCAAATGTTTGTCTTAGTATATAGTATATATTTTACCTTTTTATACATATAAAACCCTTAAGAAACACTTCCAAATTGCACAGTGTTTTCTTGAGTGTCATAATAGGCTTCATGGCAGTCCGTTCTTAAGTACGAGTTGTTCGTAACCTGGGGACTGCCTGTACATCAGCAACAAGAAACTCATACCTTTTATGGCACCTACCACATTGTTTTGTATGATCAGTTGTGTACACACCCATTTTTCTACTCACCTGTAAAGTTCCTGAGGGCAAAGGTCCATGTCTTACTGTTGAAGCACTTACAGTGTCTAAAATTATACAAAGTACACAGCAGACATTCAATAAACGTTGAATGAATCTTAGTATTGGGCTACTAAAGTGGCACATAGTGACAAAGTAGAGCTAGAAGTAAATTAAAAAGTACAATACAACATAAATCTAAAAGAGGAATCCTTTCCTACTCTTAATACCAGGAAGGCTCTTTCAAGTGTTAGTTGGTGTTGGGATCTTCATACGTAAGTATGTGACAAAACAACGAAAGATCCAGAAATGGAAATCAGAATGATTAAACTATGAGTAAAAATAGACTTGGGAAATATATAGTCCAGAAAATCTATCAAGGGTAAATTCCTACTCTGTCTTCAACTATATGGCCCCATAGAGTTTCAAGTATATGAGCATGTACATATATGTATATATTTCCCATCTTCACAGGTACCTAGACAGAATGAAACCAGCAAAATTTCAGCAAGAGGTAGTTCATTAAAAACAAATTAACAAAAATAAAAATTTAAAAAATGAGTACATATTTCAAAGAACCACTGCCCTGAAAAGATACAAAGCACTAAAGAAAAGATTAATGACATTATGACTATATGTTTATAAGGCAGCTGTAACTTTACACAAACATTATCTTGTTTTTCTCAGAAATGTAGAATTTCTCATAAAAGAAACTGTAAAGTTAAAAAGTGAACATTTGTACACTTTGCTTAACAGATGCTTAACTATACTGTACTACCAAACATTGTCAGTCCAAAGGGACAAATATATTTCTATCCATGTAAAATTTTTCTGGAAAAGCAACATTATCATAACATGGACACATAAATACCAAAAAGGATTTTTAAAAATAGACCAACGTTAATATTTGAAATAACTAGTAATGGTAACATTATTTACTTGTTAAATGAAATAACTGCTGAATATAATAAAATTAATGGAGTCTCTAATACCAGGACAGATTATATGAACTGCAGAGGGACAATGCTATTATTTTTTGAAAAGTGGACTATGTAACAAACTTCCAAAATTAAACTACTTTACTATATTTTATTGATGTAAATACAGCAAATCTCATAAGCATCAGCTTCCATTTTACCACTACACAAGAGAAAGTCAAAAGAATTACATATTAACACAGAAGAAAATACAGAAATGCTTTCATTTCTACTAAAGTTGCCTATAACAAAACATCCTACATACTTGGTACAATTTGCTTATAATTGATTAAATATTTGAAATCAAGCAAAGATGAATTTTAATCAAACTTTTATTTCTCAGTGGAAAATGCTCTCTTCATCAGAGGTGGTTGAGCTTTCCCGACATCAAACATCATTTCCAAAGGTGGGTTGTTGAGAGAACACCAATCTGGTATACGACCTGTCTGATTATAATACTCTTTTGAGACTGAACGGCTCCCAAGTATGTCTTGCAGTGCTCCAAAAATAGCTCCTGTGTGGTAAAAATATTTTTACAGCTAGGTTGAAAACTTCATGTACATATATGTCAACTTCATTACATGACAAGAATGAAGTGGTAATATTCAGCACTGCATATTCACATTCTTCAAATTCCAGTGAAGTTATTCTATATCCTATTTTTTTAATAACAAAGTAAGCCATAATGCCTGTGTTGAAAGTAACTTAAAGGGCCTTTATCAGATTATGATATGAATATAGTAAGTAATACTGTGTCTAATAGTAGGTGGGGTAGAGTGGGGTGGAAGGCATTTTCAACTTTGAATAAATACAATAAATAAGACTCTTAGTTTTCTTTGCCATAACTTTAAGATTACAATACTTTAATAAATAAAATAGAACTGTAAAACCCAGTAAGCATCATTATAATATCTATGCTGAAGGCCTTAAAAAGATCCATAAGGCAGTCTTTAAAAAATAATTTAGTAACTAAATCCATTTGCCCTTGATCAAAAATACATTTTGACTAACTTCTACTTACAACAAATAACACAACATTCATTTTAAGTCTCAATACTTTTTCTCCTTGAATATATGATCCTGATACCAACTAGCTGTAGCTACATTACATATAATATAAATATAAAATATATACTATTTATACATACCCACAAAGAGTAAAACCTGTGAAAGCCAAAACCTGTGTAAGGTGGAAACCTGTCAGAGGAGGAAAACTCAAATATTTTCCACTAAAAGGAGCAATAGAAAAGTGGTAAGACTGCACCCTGTCAAAGGCGGAAAACCTGAGAGACCTGGAAAAACAAGGCAGTCCCATCGAGTTCCAGCTCTCAGTAGTGTTACATGTTCCTCACGTTAAAGACATAAAATAATGTGACTAGATTTTTAAAAACCGTATCTGAACATATCAAATATACTCATCCATAATTTTTTCCTTCAAAGTAGTCACTTTTTTAAGCTACCTGCTTATTTTTGTGAAATTATTATTACTTAAAACATTCAATAAACTAAGTCACATAATAAAATGCAATTAGAAAATAGAGACCAATTTTCATACATAGCTCACAAATTAGCTTTGGGAGGAATTAAAACATGTTTTGAGCAATCAATGGTAGCATCAATGGAATAAATTCATAGCTTTCACTATCTGAAGGATGACTTTAACTGGATGAAGAAATTTACTTAAAAAAATCACAGTGTAAATGGCAAGAGAAACACAGGTATATAATTTTAAAAATTACTATAATTTAAGGAAATACCAATGTTCAAAAAAATTATTTAATAATTCTATTAGTTTATTAAGTGGGCAATTTTGAACACTGAATCTTCTATGCTAACATCCATTTGTAATGCCATTCAGCAAACATTTACTATATAATCATTATATTTTAAAACTAAATTCTTACCTCCCAACCAGGCCACACAATTAGCCTTTGCAGGTGGAGTATGAATTCGGAATGTCTTGCTGCCAAGTGCTTTTTTATATTTTGGTTTTTCTACCAAATATCTTATTTCTGCAAGCAATCTGTGGAGAAATCCTGGCAACATAGATGTGCCACCTATGACTACCAAATTCTCTGCTAGTTGCTTTCTGGTATCTATTGGGCACTGTTATTAAAAAGGAAGAAAAAAAAGAATTTATACTTGATTTATAAATAATGATTGACTGTTTTTAAGAAAATATACAGAGGTATATATTACAGATTAATTAGGTGATCTTTTGTATTACAAAAAGGGCCTCGCCAAGGTTTCCTTAACAAGTGAGTTTTTCACATAGCAAATGTAACATAGAACTTTAAAGATTTTAAAGTATTTAAGAATCTAATAGTATAGAATTTTAAATTCCACAGGACATACGGTAATATGTGAGTATTCTCATTTTCAGGGTGGAATGACTGAGTTTGGCAAAGAGAATGAGAAGAAATAAATTACTTTTATTTGCTTTTTTAAGTAAGGAAAGTATGTGTAAACATGATTTTTCTAAGTGTTATCTTTCATAGTATTATAAATCCAGCGCCAGTTGTTGAGTTAGAAGATAACACTCTTAGAAAAACTATGTTTCCACATCAGTTCTCTCTAAAAATTAGGAATGATGAGGTCCTTCACTGATGTTATTACTACTATTTTTAAATAAAAGTCCCTGAGTGGAGCTCTCGAGGGAGACAATATATTCCAGGGAAGTTATATTTCCCTCGGAGTTCTGTAATTCTGTAGTCAATAAACATATGTTTTGTGGAATTTGGGGTCTCTGGGTGGTGCAAACAGATAAAGCACTCAGCTGATAACCAAAAGGTTAGAGGTTCAAGTCCACCTAGAGGTTCTTCAGAAGAAAGGCCTGGCAACCTAGTTCCAAAAAATCAGCCATTAAAAACCTATATGGAGCCTGGTTCTACTCTGACACACATGGGGTCGCCGTGAGTTGGAAATGACTCGACGGCAACTGGTTTTCTGTGAAATTTAAAATTCTATACTATGTAAACCTGTATTTGATAGACCCGCAAGCCACACTATGTACAAAATAAAAATTTGGGTATCACTGCTCTGGGGAAAAAGAAAAAAAAAAGTTCACGGTACTCATTATCCCTAAAATGTCTTGGGTACCATGGTTCAGTACCAAAGTAAAAGTTGTAACTAACATCTAAAGCAAAAACTGATATAATAACATTTTAAAATTTTCTTTAAAGGACTATAGTCATAAATTAAAATTTTTTACAAAGTAAAATACCTGCATAAGTGAATCCAACATTAAAGTGGCAACTGATTTCTCCTCATTATCTTGTTCAAAAAGAATTTCCACAACTGAATCTCTGAGATTAAAAACATCATATAATATTATAGGGAATATACCAAAAGTTCTAGTGACATAGTATTTTACATACCAGCACTATGTTAATGCAGAATAATTCTTAAAACACAAAGTGTTCTCATGTGTAAAATAGGGAGAATAACAGTACCTGCCACACAAGGGTTGATGTGAGGATAAAAGGAGTTAATAGAACAGTGCCTGGTCCATAGGAGGCACTCCAGAATGACTAGCTACTACTATTAGATTATGCATAGATTTATATATACTTTTGTGTCAAATTATACCTCCCTAAACCTAAGATCAGAGAAAAGGTATTCTATAAAAGTTGATAAGACTCCACAAGCATATCGGTTTGATACAAGAGATTAAAAAAAAAATTTAAACACCATTTCTTTGTTTTTAAAAGTAATACACTGCAAAGACTGCTAGTCACCTAGCGAATATACATTTTCAATTTTCCTGTTCTTTCTCAAATTAAAAGAACCCCACTTTTGGGTAGCATAAGGAAGATCTTTGTGGTGATGGAATAGTTCTGTATCTTGATTGTGGTGCTGATTACACAAATCTACACATGATAAAATTAGACTTAACTATATATACACTTTATACCAATTTATAACAATGGCAATTTCCTGGTTTTGATATTATACTATAAATATGTAAAATGTAACTATTGGGGGAAACTGGCTGAAGGGTACACAGGATCTCTCTGTACTATCTTTGCAACTTGCTGTGAATCTATATTTGAAAAATAAAGAAAGAACCCTCATTTTTAAGCTGGAGACACTGTTGACTAGTTAAAGCACTATATTTACCAGTCTCCTTTCTGACTAGATGTAGCCATATGACTATGTACCAGACAATGAGATGGTGGCAGAAATGGCTTGTGGGACTTCTGTAAAGTCTCCTTAAAAGGCTGAGGAAGGACTTTTCTCTTTCCCTTCCTAAGACTTCTTGCTTCAAACACAGACATGATAGCTAGAACTCCAGCAGTCATCCTGGACCCCCTTGAGGATGGTAGAGGAAGGATGGAAGAAGTTTGGGTTCCTAATGGGAGCTGTCGTACCATATCTGGACTATCTACCTCTGAACTTCTTTTTAATGAGAGACAAATTTCCATCTTGTCAAAGCCACTATTTTCAGGTTTGTGTGACTCGTGGCCAAACCAAATCCTAACCAACGCAAATACAGAACTAACTATACATATGCACATATACACACTATATTTTTATAAAATTGGGATCACAGCATGCACACTATTTTATAGCTTTTTTGCATCTTTTTTCAAAACATACGAAATTCTGTTTATGAGACTCAACGTACTTCCTCTCTCCATTTCATCAGTAAAGTATACTAACAGGCCAGCAGTATGCTGAACACTCATGGCTAGCTATGCCTGCACACTTCTCTTTCTACCAGTTGAGTTGCATGCTTACAAAGAGTCTGTTTTCTTTTTTCAAATCATTTAATGCTAGTTGATTTGATATTGAAATTATATATTTAATAATTATTACTTAACCAATGAAATATTAGGATAAAAAACAAATTGTTCTTTCTGCAAAACCAAGTTGAATGCTCTGGAAAGACTAAATAACTTTAAAAATCTTTTTAGTATAGATGAGACAACTTTAAAAGTCTAGAAGAAAACATCTAAAAGGATTCTGTACCAAGACTGATTCACAAATAACTAAGTTTTAACTGTACTTAAAAACAAAACAAAAAAACTAGAAATCATAAACCATGAATTACTGGTTTATTCAAGTATAATTCAGAACTCTACAAGCAGACTTATCCTCAAAGAAAAGGTCTGGGAAAAAGTTTGGCAAATAAATATACGTTTATAAGTTTTAAGCTAAAATAAAATGTTTAATACATGATTTTTTAAAATCGTCCTTCACTTTAAATGACCCCTCCCCTCCCCCTGCTTTTTTTAAATTTACCAACCACCTGTCCTAATTGTGTCTAATTAGATTTCATTGGAACGAGAGCTTTTTGTAGGAAAAAAATCTTAGCAAACAATGGTAAATTAATTGGGTCTGGAATATGAGACATAGTGGCTTCCTTTATTCCCAATGTATTTCCCTACTATTTACTAACTAAAAGCTCCATATTAGTTGAATTTCCTTAACACTTATTTTATTCTCTTAATTCTGGGTTCCACTAAACAATTAGGTGAAAATTTAAAATAGTAATTTAAGTAACTACCAAGAGATGTTACATTCTCACTTTTTTGTTCACCCAACATACTGTCCTTAACGTTTATATATTTATGTTCATCCTTTTAATATCTCAACAATCTCTATATTAATTGTCTCAAAATCTAATAGGAGCTTCAATATATTACATAATCCTTTTTTGTGTATCTTCTGATCTTATAATTTTATAGATAAAATTTTTATAATACAAATTTTATAAAGCTGCTATGGCATAAACAAAAATGATACTGTTACCAATAAAATTACACAGGTCCTTAATAGCAGCTTATTTTGCATCATTAGACAGAGCAATATATAATAAAAGATGAATTACTAATGAATCCTAAAGACTGAGTTTATTTGGAACAATACATTTTTTCTAACGAGAGGAAGTTTTAAAGCAGGGGTTGGAAAACTATGGCCTGCTCACCAAATCCACACCACTGCCAGATTTTTGGAAATAAAATTTTATTGGAACACAGCCACACTCGTTCATTACGTATTATCTATGGGTGATTTCTGTAGAGCTGAGCAGTTGCAGCAGAGACCACACGGCTCACAAAGCCTAAGATACTCACTATCTGGTCCTTCTCAGAAAAACTTTGCTGACCCTTGTATTAAAGTCTCATACTTTCCATTCCATTTCAAAGAACGACTGGCTTCATTAACTAAATTAGTTCTGAATCACCTTGATGAACAGGAAACAATGTCTTTATAAGTTTTAGAAAATTTTAAAAAATGGAATAATAAAATTAATCGTGAATGATAAGGCTTAACAAAAAACACCGTAACTGTTAAATCAACAATAAAATATTTTTAAAAGGCTAGAAATTTATTTTAGTTCATTATTTTGCTCCTAAAAAATTAAGGTCTAACCTGATTGATCCAAGGACATGTAAAATCTTCTCTCCATCTAATGGGTAGTCAACATTTGGGGGTGGTGTGGGACGCTGAAATAAAAATATCGTAAGTGTAAATCTACGTATGTTATAAACTCACAAAAAAGAATATACCTTTATTTTTAATTTACCTCAGTTTTCCCGTCAATGTTAAATTTTGCTGCTTGTATATTTAGTCCACGCTTCAGATCACTTACAAAGCAAGTGCGAACTTAAAAGAAAGGCAGAAAAGGGGCTTTGTTATAGTTTATGATTAACTGAGTAGAGTCAATCTACATCCCAGTTAAAACAATTCTATTCAAGAGAATGTGCTAGCCATTCATTTGTCTGGATTTTATACTCTATCCAAGGTCTTTAGTTGGCTTATGACTATTTATTCACAAATAAAAAGGCCGCATTCTTCATTCACTGAGGAGTCGTAAGATATGTTTTTATATGCATATGCATCTTCTGTAAAACCACATTTTAAAAAACACCTTTGAGAAGACTATTGTTTGGCATCTCTTGTATAAATAAACTTTAGCACCATGAAATATAGCTATTCTAACTGAACAGCATGGTTCTTTGATGCAAATTTACTTATTTACATCTATCTGATTTTTTTTAAATCTTAGTTGGTCAGAACACAAAGTTAAATTTTGCTGTCAGCTGCAATAACACTCCTTAGTTATTTTTTGGCACAATTATTTTCACCTTCCTTGATACACCCAACACTACCACTTTCCTTCTACTATATTATGTTTGGTTTTTTTGGGGTTTTTTTTCACTTTTAAACATTTTTCTTTTAAAGATTCTTTCTGTTGCAAAGTACCTTATAATAAGCCACTTCAACTTGTTTTTAGAAATAAATGAGGAATAGTTTTTAGAGATCAAATCTGGCAAATGCAAGAAATCTGAATACTGGAATTATTTGCAAAACATGTTAGTCATATGTGTGGGTATAAAAAACTATCTTCTTTCACTAATACAAAATACATTTGTTGAGAAGGAATCTACAGTATGCTAGACGGTGAGCTAGGTGCTAAAGCTACTTATATATTTTACATTTTATTCAAGTCCTCATAACTATCTAAACAAGATAATACTTAGGCCTCAAGATCTTGTATACTTGGCAGGGGGTACCCTTCTTTAAAGCAACAAAATTAACTGAATTAAAAATCTAAGAACAGATAAACAACACTTAAAATTTTTAAATAATTGAAAAAAATTTAGGTAATTACCGAAGTAATATAATGAGTGTGTGTGTGTGTATTAGATACTTGTTTTTAACATAAATGGGTTCATACCGCACATATTATTCAGTAAACTTGCTTCTTAACAATATATTATGGACATCCTTCCAATCAATACATCTAGATCCTTCTCTTTAAGAGCTACATGGTATTCCACATTATGAAGTTACCACACTTTATTCAATATTCCGTTTAGATGGGATGCACTTTTTAATTTTAATAACTATGCCAGATTGCTTTCTAGAAAGGTTTGCAATCCTTTCTAATGGTAATATATATTCATTTTCCCACAATCTCACCAATAATGGAGATCTATCTTTCAAATTTTTGCTAGTCTGATGTGTTTCCCTAATGGGAAAGTTAAACATCTTTTCATAAGTTAGACACCATATGTAAAAAGATACACTCCAAATAGTTAACATAGTTACATCACAGGGATATGACTGGAAAAAAGGAATGGAATCTATTAATTTCACTTGAGATAATTTAGCTGTTGTAATAAACATTTAAAAAATGACTGAAATTTAACAAAAACTGAAAAGATTTTAGGTAATTATACCACATAAGTAAGCAAAATAAGGAAGAGCAAGATCTGGTTTGCAGCCACAGCTCTAATCCTAACTACCTGTGTGACAATGAACAAATCATTTAATAGTTCAGGGCACCAACTGTACTAGACTATCTCCAGGTCTCATTTAGGTCTAAAATCCATTAGTATCTAATTCTTTATTAAATATTCTAGAATATTAATTTTATATGACACTCTAAGTACTGAAGAACATTAAATTTTATGTGCTTTTCCTTTTACTTAATCAAAATACCAGAAAACCCAATTTGAACAGTATCATAAAAATGCATGCTAATACAGTAGAACTAATATATCTTACTAAAGTGAATCCAATATACTTTGGGCCCTACTCTAGAATTTTCAAACAGTAAAATGACTGACTTTATAAAAATGTATAAAGAAAAACTAGAGTTAAAAAAACAAACCTATTGAAGATCAAACCAGTGACTCAAGCAATGTAACTGCTATTTGATACTGGGCAAATTACTAGTTCCCTAGTAACCCTATATACTCTCTATCTATAATTCAGCAGTTGCTTTAATAACACATCATGGATAATGCCAAGGCTTTCCATAGGACTGAAGAAAAATCAAAATTTTTATTTACATTATTCCACAGTCTATGTATTAAATGGAGCCCTGATGACACAGTAGTTAAGAGCTCAGCTGCTAACCAAAAAGGTCAGCAGTTCCAATCCACCAGCCGCTCCTTGGAAACCCTATGGGGCAGTTCTACTCTGTCCACAGGGTTTCCAAGGAGCAGCTGGTGGACTGGAACTGCTGACCTTTTGGTTAGCAGCCAAACACTTAACCACTGCGTCACCAGGACTCCACAAGATATTATACAGGCAGACATTAAATATGTATTATATATATACATATTATTCAATATGTATATATCTAATAACATACATTCTATGTGTATGTTAATATCTACAATAATATATATTCTACATGTATGTGTATAATAATATATACTCTGTTTGTTTCTTTAGGCAGCGTGTAAGAATATTTAGAAACATATGCCCTCTAAACTAACACTTAAGAATGAAAGGGACAAAACTGGGAACTTAAGATACAGATTTACCTTTAATGTCCTCTAGGACACCTTCTGGAATTGAACCTAAAAGAGAAATTTTATGAACAACCTATTAAATTGCATTCACTTTTTTATTTCTCGTTTTGACAAAATTAAAAAAAAAAAGTCTATAATTAAAAAAACAAAAGCCAAGTAGAAAAATTAAGTTTGCTTTTAGGGAAGAAAGTTCATCATTCAAAGCCAAGCCAAAGCACCAAGTTGAAGCCAGATATGCACAGAGTGCTACAGGATATCCTAAACTTGTAAACTTCATAAAAACAAGATCTTTAAAATACAGTCGATTAATTTGCAATTAGAAAAGAATTTACCAAAAAAATCTTTTATACTATAAAGAGATATTCTGGTTATATTATGGCAAGTACTTAGAAGAACTGATTGTGCAGCTTAAAGATGAATTATTTATTTTTGTTTTAAAAAAGTGATATTCCAAATATGCTTATCCTTCCTGTGATAACAAATGGCTGTCAGTAGTATGCTAACCTAATATATATTTTTTAAAAAGTATCACAAGCACCGTGGCATCTGGGGTCTTAAAAGCTTGCAAGCGGCCATCTAAGATGCATTAATTGGTCCCAACCACCTGGAGTAAAGGAGAATGAAGAACACCAAAGACACAAGGAAAGTATTAGCCCAAGAGACAGAAAGGTCCACATAAACCAGAGACTTCATCAGCCTGAGACCAGAAGAACTAGATGGTGCCCGGCTACCACCAGTGACCACCCGGACAGGGAACACAACAGAGAGTCCCTGATGGAGCAGAAGAAAGGTGGGGTGCAGAACTCAAATTCTATCTAGAAAGAAGACCAGACTTAATGGTCTGAATGAGACTGGAGGAAACCTGGAAAGCATGGCCCCTGGATTCTCTATTAGCCCAGAACTAAAACAATTTCCGAGCCAACTCTTCAGACAGGGATTGGACTGGACTGTGGGACATAAAGTGATACTCGTGAGGAGTGTGCCTCTTAGCTCAAGCAGATATAAGAGACTAAACGGGCAGCTTCTGTCCGGAGGTGAGATGGGAAGGCAGAGAGGGTTAGGAGCTGGTTGAATGGACACGGGGAATCGGGTGGAAAGGAGGAATGTGCCGTCACAGTATCGGGAGAGCAGTTAGGGTCACATAACAATGTATGTATAAATTTTTGTATGGGAAACTAACTTGAAATGTAAACTTCATTTAAACCACAACAATAAACAAAAGAAAAAGTATCACAAGCAGATTTTTAATCTTTTTCTTCCAGGTAAAGGTAACATTTTAAAATGATGAGTGAGAAAGTACCTATTCAAAGAAACCTATGCAATGTAGAATGCCCTTAGAAGGTGGATGGCTAGATATGTTACCGTTGTTAGGTGATCTTTGTTGCCAAAAATCTGTAATTTCCTGAGTTTGACTCAGAAACAAATTTTTCTAACTTAAATATCTTCTTTAAACTAAGAATTTGTAACCCATTATTAAATATGTAAAATATTCTGATTGATTTGTAAGAATAAGTTATTTACATTAGGGAAGACAAAAATTTATAGCTGATCTACACATCCTGTCAGCTACATCTTTAAAGTATGCCAGCCCCTGAAATTAACTGTCAAAATAAATTGAACTTAAAAGCACACCTTCAAAAGATTAAGCTACAATTTTTAAATAAACAGTAAAGCTTATTTAATCACACTGCTTTTATGAGGGAGCAAAAAATGTTCTACCATTAGTAAGTATGATTTTAGAACTATTTATTATTTTATCTAATTGCCTTGTCCATTCTAAATCCTTACTTTTGTGTAAGTTTATAAATAAATACATATATTGAAAGTACATGCTCAAAAAAAAATTTTTTTTTCTGGTGGGGCCAGTATGCAATCAAAAATGTTTGGAGATTCCTATCCCTAAGTATTAAAATTTATCTCATAAAAGGATAAAGATATTTGAAAAGATTTAAACTCAGCTATAAATAGATGAAAGAAGTGTTAAGTGGATTATAAGAGCCTATAATTTAAGAATAAACACTAAAAACTAACATTCTACAACTGTTATACACTCTCTAGAAATACTCAAATTCCAACAGGTGTCCAAGAAATTTGGTAATAAGAAAAATAGTTCTCTTTAGGCAACATGTAAAATAAAAGTGTTTATTTTAGCTAGGAGTAGATGCTGTTACAGGAAGGGGCACTTTAATCTTAGCGAATAATCACAAATATTTAAACTTTGTAGGGGAGGAACAGAAATAAGAGACATTCATTGACTCTGGCTCTGAAAAATCATATTTAAATTTCAGCTCATTTAAGAAAATAAGAATCATAACATTTTGATAGAAAGTTTATTTTAAATTATATATTTTTAATATCAATGTCCTTATGTTAGCCTTTTTAAGTTGTGAGTTACTATAGTATATTCATTCTTTCTTGAACTATGTTCTAAACACTAACTGAAAAGTGTCTCATTCAAAATTCACTCAAGGGTTCCCAAGTACATCTAAGACTTGCATCTCATCTTTCCTACGGACCTCGAAAAGAGATACTTTGGATGTGTTTGCATTTCTGATCCTCCTAAGTGGGTTCTTTGGCAAACAGTTATATGATTTAATTCCACAATGAGTAGGACTGCAAGGTTAACTACCACAGACTTCAGATTTTGGGGACTGTGGAAGGGGAGGATTAGAGTCAGAGTTTGAGAAGGCTAGTTAAAGAAAAGGTGTCTGAGAAGATTATATAGTTAAGAATTTTAAGGAAATGTTATAAGTTTTAAAGAAGACCTTTAATAAAGAGATCTTGGGATGCTCCACTAAGCATATTATCTTTGGAAACCTTTTATAAAGTAACTGTCATGATATACCAAAAGGGTAAGAAAGTTTTATCTAGAACATAAAAATTATACGATTTACAGAATGAAGAATGCAATTGTCTTAACTACCAATAAGGAACGATAGGAAAACATGATAAGCAAGTCTAAATGTTCTAAAAATCTGTCTTTTTTCAACATTTATTCAGTGCCCAGGCACTAAGCTAAGTGCTACAAGTCAAAAAATAAATGAGAGGGATCCTCAAAGTCTACTGGGGGAAACAGACAAGTTAACAGGCAAATGAATATGTGTCATAATACATACTATAATAAATGCTGCTGAGGGCTTAAAAGAAAAGGGAGCAATTTGTTCTGCTTAGGGAAGAAAAGATGGCTTCACAACTAAGATGATACTCCGGCTGGGTCATACAGAGGGATCAAAAACTCAACCAGAAAAAGAAAAACGGATATCCAAGGTAAAGAAATAGAATAATGAAGGTACAGGACTGTTGAAGGACTCATGGTGCCTAGAAGACTGAAAGAAATTTGCTACAGCAGAAATAAGATACAAAGGGTAGAGTTTAGCGAGTAAGAATTTGTTGTTATTGTTAGGTGCCGTCGAGTCAGTTCCAACTCATAGCGACCCTATGTACAGAACAAACACTGCCCAGTCCTGTGCCATGCTTACAATTGTTGTTATGCTTGAGCCCATTGTTGCAGCCACTGTGTCAATCCATCTCGTTGAGGATCTTCTTTTTTGCTGACCCTCTACTCTACCAAGCATGAGTTAAGAATAAGAGGTAGAAAAAAGTCATATTGTGAACAAACATGTACAGGTAGTCCCCAATTTACGATGTAATTGAGTTATGACAAACTGCACTTAAACAACCATCTTTTTTTTTTTTTTACATCATTAGTAAAATGTATTACATACATTGTTGCAGTGCATAATTTGCTGTTGTCATCATTCCCATGCCAACCCCCCAGACAAATAAACATCAGATTTATAAAGATACTGATAATAAAAGATAATAATAATGAAAACTTTAAAAAATGATGTATTTGACTTAACGTCAGAACCGACTTATGACAGTCGTTGGAACAGAACACGTAAGTCGGGGACTACCTGTACAGAGAAACAGACTGAAGTGTATCAAAGAGATTATTTGAATTTTAACTTGTAGGAGCCAACAAAATTCTTAAGCAAAAGAGCAATGTAATCAGATTTGTTCTGTGGAAAGTTATTCCTGGCAACAGACTGAATCAGAGAGGGAGCAAAAAATAAGTAGACCCCTGTAACAATCCAGGCAAACAATAACAAAGGCCTAGGTTAAAACAAAGTCTGTACAGGCATGTGTAAGATAGTAAAGAGAAATGAAATTTGGAAGATATTTTTGACGGAGAAATGAAAGGATGTGATAACACCCCAGTTTTCTAAAATAGGAGATTAGGCTGATACTATCTTTAGCTAAAAATGATTAGTTGAAATAAATTTGGAGGAAGAGATAATGTGTTTTTTTAATTTTTTTTAATTGAACTTTTTTTTTTTTAAATTGTACTTCAGGTGAAGGCTTACAGAACAAATAGTTTCTCAAGAAACAGTAGTACACATATTGTTTTATGACATTGGTTAACAACCCCACAACATGTCAACCCTCACTGTGTTCATTTTTACAAGTCTTAAGTCTTACGTGTCTTGCATGCGTGATATACTGATCTTTATATCTAAAAATTAGTTGAAAATATTTCAGGTTTAGAAGAAAGTGATACATTTGAGAGTCAACAGCATAAAAATGTAGGTGAAGTAATGGAAGTTGATGAGATCACCTTTAAAAAGCCAGCAGGAAGAAAGAAAGGACAAAAAGTAGATCTCTAGGAAATATTAGTAGAGAAGGAAAAAGCAGACAGAGGAAAGTGAGAAGGAATACTAGAAAAATAATAGAACAATAGAAAGAAGAGAGTTCTGAAAGCAAAGCAAGAGAGAATTTCAAGAAGTACACGGATGGAAGGAATACACAGAGTCACTGTATCAAAAAGAATTGGTTGACATTCAACCATTTCAGGAGGTAGCAAATGATCAAGAACCGATGGTAATGAAGGAAGAAGTTCAAGATGCACTGAAGGCATTGGCGAAAAACATAACTCCAGGAATTGACGGAATACCAATTGAGATGTTGTAGCAAAGGGATGCAGCGCCGGAGGTGCTCACTCATCTATGCCAAGAAATCTGGAAGACAGCTACCTGGCCAACCAACTGGAAGAGATCCATGTTTGTGTCCATTCCAAAGAAAGGTGATCCAAAAGAATGCAAAAAATTATCGAATATCATTAATACCACATGCAAGTAAAATTTAGCTGAAGATAATTCAAAAGCCTTTGCAGCAGTACATCAACAGGGAACTGCCAGAAATTCAAGCTGGATTCAGAAGAAGATGTGGAACAAGGGGTATCATTGCTGTTGTCAGATGGATCTTGGCTGAAAGCAGAGAATACCAGAAAGATGTTTACCTGTGTTTTATTGACTATGAAAAGCTATTCGACTGTGTTTTATGAATAACATTCCGAACAACGGGAATTCCAGAACATTTAATTGTACTCATGGGGGACCAGCATAGACCAAGAGGCAACTGTCAAACAGAACAAGGGGCTACTGGGTGGTTTAAAATCAGGAAAGGTGTGTGTCAGGGTTGTATCCTTTCACCACACTTATTCAATCTGTATACTGAGCAAATAACTCAAGAAGCTGGACTATAAGAAAAAGAACGTGGCACCAGGATTGGGGGAAGACTCATTTACAACTTGTGATATGTAGATGACACAACCCTGCTTGCTGAAAGTGAAGAGTACTTGAAGCACTTACTGATGAAGGTCAAAGACTACAGCCTTCAGTATGGATTACACCTCAACATAAAGAAAACAAAAATCCTCACAACTAGATCAATAAGCAACATCGTGATAAACGGAGAAAAGATTGAAGTTGTCAAGGATTTCATTTTACCTGGAGTCCACAATCAACACATTGGAAACAGCAGTCAAATCAAATCAAGTGATGTATTACCTTGGGCAAATCTTCTGCAAAAGAGCTCTTTAAAGTGTTGAAAAGCAAAGATGTTACTCTGAGGACTAAGTGCACCTGACCCCAAGCCATGGTGTTTTCAATCGCCTCATAGGCAAGCGAAAGTTGGGTAATGAATAAGGAAGACCGAAGAATTGCTGCCTTTGAATTACGATGTTGGTGAAGAATATTGAATATACCATGGACTACCAAAAGAACGAATGAGTGTGTCTTAGAAGAAATAAAGCCAGAGTGATCCTTGGAAGCCAGGATGGCGAGACTTCATCTCATGTACTTTGGACATGTTATCAGGAGGGACCAGTCCCTAGAGAAGGACATCATGCTTGGTAAGGTAGAGGGTCAGCAAAAAAAGACAAAGACCTCGATAAGATGAACTGACACAGTGGCTGCAACAATAGGCTCAAAGATAGCAAAGATTGTGAGGATGACGCAGGATCGGGCAGTATTTCGTTCTGTCGTACACAGGGTCGCTATGAGTCAGAACCACCTGAATGGTACCTAACAACAACAACATGGTGATCCATAATGTCAAAAGTTTGAGAAAGGACGACTGAAACTAAGCTACTGGATTTGTTGATTAAACAATCAATGGTGACCTTACAATAGGAGCAGTATCATCAGAATGGTGTAGGGGGAAAACAGAGTAGCTATGCACTGGGGTAAAGAATGAAATAAAGTTGAAGAAGAGTATAAACTACTTTTAACCCTTTGGTAACCCATTATCTTCTGCTTTGAATTTTTTGTTGATATCATGAGTTTTCATTAATGAAAGCATACTCAATTATTGAGTGTGTCTGAATTTTGGTAGGTAGTATTGATTTTTTTTTTCTTGCCCGCTCCTACAAGCCTATGCTAGTGTTTAGTGGCACATATGAAGTACCACTAATTATACCCCAGAATCCCCACTGGGATCTATTGGTACATATGTGTAACAAATAAAAATTTTCAAAATTTCTATTTTTCCTACCAAAAATTCAGACATCTCATACAATACCCTGTAAAAACAGCACTTTGAGTCACATGCCCATTTCTTCAGTTTCAAACGTCGTAGGGATCCCTGCCTTGCAGCAGCATGCACTATCAGTGGTACAGCAGCTTCCCAATAAACCCCAGAGGCTGAAAAATTCATGGTCACTCTGTGTACTAATGGGCACAAAAAGGTTAAACAGCTTAAAATGATTTTACCCATCACTGAGGGAAGGCTCTGTTCTTTAGCAGCACTTGTGTCAACATTACATTGTTCCAACAGTTGAGTTTCCAACTCCCTGAAGGTTAAATTAAAAAAAAAAAAAAAAAATTACTGGAATGAAAATACTGCATCTGATAACTTTTCTTAGTTTGATGCTTACTACATAATAGATTATGATACTTTAAGTAAAAATTGTTTTACCTTTAGAACATGAATACACTCAATTCTAACCGAAAACAGAATAAAATTAAATGTCCATATTACAAGCCCTCTAATGATCACAGTAAAAAAAAATTGCATCTCTTTTTATAGCACGGGTGAAGAGAACGTGTTAAATTCTAAGAAAACTTACTTGTGAAGAGCTTTTCCTCCTAAGGGGAGTGCTCCCCAACAATTCAGTACTGGGATTCCTTCATATATCTGTAGGGTAGTCAAGGTTATTACATTGTAGGAGATAAAATGTGGTTTCCTTGATATTTTCCTCACTTTCTTCAATATTGTTCTAAATCAGATTTGGTGACAATTCTTATTTTTAAGAGTTACTGAAAAATCAAGAGTCTTTATGTTATTCTCAAAGGAAAACAGGTTAAAAAAATACACACACACATATAATTCATTAGATAGAGCTGGGATGTCCGATAAAGTTGCCACTAGCCACATGAGGCTATTGAGCACTTAGTCTGAATTGAGATGTGCTGTAATAAACTACACACCAAAATTAGAAGACTTAACATATTATAAAAATATTCTGTAAATTATCTCATTTTTATATTATTGTATATTAAAATAATTATTTTGAATATATTGTGTTAAACATAGAATTAAAATCAATTTCATCTTTTTCACTTTACATGTGGCTCTTAGAAATTTTAAAATTACATACATGGCCCGTATTATATTTCTACTGGATAGAGCTGAATTAGAGGATAGGGGACAGGGTTGATTTTTAACATTTGAGGTTTGCTACCTTGCCTTACATATTGTTTTGGTGGTGTTCTATAAAGTACAATATTTATAAAATGAGAAGAAAAACAGTATAAAGTATCAGCTTTAGAGACAAACATGGGATCAAATCCTGGCTACATTCTAATATGACCTTGCATTAACTATGTATCCCAACTTTCAATTTTCTCATTTATTTAATGAGCAGAATAATGTTTATGCTGCAAGGTTACTGTGAGAATTAAATATGCTTTATATTTAAAAAGCAACAGCCTTATTTAGTTCCTTAGGAGCTAATGATTCTTGATGTCCTTCCCCATGAATATTTTTTCTAACTAATGAAATACACATGTAGAATCTCAAAACTGCAAGACTTGCATTCAGGTAGTTCAATCTGCTTTTCAATGAAGCAATACTCACTGTAACATTTCTAAGAGACAATTACCAATACTCTGTTTAAATGCTTCTAATGGTAAAGAATGTACCAGCTTATAGTCAGTTATTCCATTTTGGGACAGCATGAATTATTGGGAAGTTCTTTCTTATGATGAATGACATAAAAACGATAACACTTACTGAGCAAGTTACTATGTGCCAGATGCTGTGCTAAACACTTTACATATATTACCACACTCAACCACACAATACCCCTATGAGGTGAGATGATTAAAACCCCCATTTTATACATGAGGAAATGGATGCCCAAAGAGGTTAAGCCAATGTCATACAACTAGTAAGAGGTACAGCTGAGATTTGCACTTACGGGTATATTTGATTCCAAAACCCAAGCTCATAAACCTATGCCATTTTGCCTCCATGATATCCTCTGGACAGAGGGAGAAAATACTTTTCCACAGTGAGCCCTTTAGCTATTTAAAGGCAGATTTCATATTGTCATTTAGTTTTTATTTTTCTTGATTAAGCTTTCTCATTTCAATTTCTCCACTTATTCTTTGTATCATCTTTTCTTAGAATTTGACCATGCTATTCAGCTTCTTTGACACATCCTAATTCACTGATGTTCTTCTTAAAAACTGAACATAATATTCATGAAGTCTGATCCCAGAGCAAATACTGAGACAAAATCATAATGATAATTTCTACAATAACTAAATTTACATCTCACAATCCTGTGAACTTTTTCCACATGGTAATTCATATTTGTACATGGTAATCCAAAAATAATTTGCTGCAACAGAAGCTACTTGTAATAAGCAGAATTGTTTTAGTTAAAATAGAATAAAAACTGCAAAAAGGATACAGGTAACACCAAGCTTTCCCTATATCCACAATCCAGGACCATGGCAGAGTTAATCCCAAGTGTCAGAAGAGCCATTAGATGACTTGGAGCAAGCAAGACAGATGGAACCTAGAATACAGCAGCAACAAAAAACAACAACAAAACCAGAATGAGTTATCAGTATTTGAATGTGTTTCCCTTATATTTCAAATGTTATACATTTGAAAATATTCACAGTAACATTATATTTACTTATATTAAAGAATGTTTATCAATGATTTGAATTTATGCAAATCAAAATATACTGTAATAAATAAAAATATTTTAAGTTCTCTAAGTCGTTTTATTCCTAAAAGACAATTACTAAGTAATTTTATTAATTCTTGTTGTATCCCTTTTTGAGGGGAAAATAGAAAAGAATAAAAGAGGTCCAAAAACAAAGATTCAGAGGAAGATTCTAAATTAAAAAAAAAAAAAGATTCCCTTACCATCAAAATGAAAATAAAGAAAAAGAATTCTTGATTGTTTTTATTCTCAAAGTCTGCAATATGAAGAGTACTTTTATAACAGTGTAATATAAAAGTCAAATTAAACTGAAGAAGAAAACTACAAAAATCCTTAGCTCTTCTGTGACATTTTTCAGTGAGGATTTATCAGATCTGGTGACACCCCAAATATCAGGTAAATATTTAATCAAATGGCAGACAAAGTAATGGCTATATTTCCCTTATCTAAGTAGATACTGCTGGTTCTGGTCATTATACAAGAATAGGATACTGATATAAAAACAGCTAAAATTCTTTGTTGTTGTTAGTTGTTGTCAAGTCAATTTCAATTCATGACGACCCCATGTGTACAGACTTGAACTGCTCCATAGGGTTTTTAAGGCTGTGACCTTTTTCAAACCAATCAGCAGGCCTGTCTTCTGATGCATCTCTGGGTGAGTTCAAACCACCAACCTTTTGCCTAGTAGCTGAGCCCATGTGCACCACACAGAGACTCCTACAAGATAAGGATACTGACACAGTAACAACTAAAATGCTAAGAAAAAGCATAAATTCAGAGAATCATCTGTTTTATTCAGCTAAGAGCTGATGTGACTCGTCTTTTGTTTTGTGTTCCTCGTGCTGCAAACAAATGTAATTTACAGAAATTCCTGAATACGTGACATCAGTAAATACAGGAGGATATGCAAACTATTTCTCTGTACCTATCACACCAAACTATAACTTAGAAATATTAAGTGCCCCTTACCTTATAAAGACATTGTGATTTTTGGTTAAATGGCCATCGGTATATTTTGAGTTCAGCAGAATGTATAAAACACATTTACATACACTTAATTTCTTATATACTGTATACATTTTACACAACTTTCCTGTTTTCCTTGCAGAAAAACCCTAAATTCCTAAGGCAGAGATTCTGAAAAATTTAAGTAAAGATTCTGGCCTATTTTAAATCATATTCTTGGTCCTTATAAAAATCTTGACTCCTATAAAATGAAAGCTACAAGTAATACAAGGAATCCTGGTGGCACAGTGGTTAAATGCTTGACTGCTAACCAAAAGATCAGCAGTTCAAACCCACCAGCCACTCCTCCAGAGAAAAGACTGATGATCTTCTCCCATACAGATTACAGCCTAGGAAACCCTATGGGTAGTTCTACTTTGTCCTATAGGGTTGCTATGTGTCAGAATCGACTTGATGGCACACAACAACAATAACTAACATTATTAATATCAAGAGGTAAGCCTCATTCCTGGCACTGCTCACTTACTCTAATGGAGTCTTTGTTTGAATATTCCATTTTTTCTGATACAGAAACTTAAAGCCTAAAATGAAAGAATTAAAAAACTCAGAACAGTCACCATAACCAAATAATGGAAGCTATAAACACCTGGAAGAAACCCATCATAAATTCTACAGCACAGAATATACCTCTTAATTCTCAAAAATGTCCCCAAACAGAAAAATCTACATTAAAATGATAACAGAAACACCAGTAAGACATCTCTATCTAAATGTTAGATGAAATGCTAATTAAGCATAAAATAAACATACAAAGAAAGAAAATAAATTGCCAGTCTGAACAGACTTCAGGTTACTTTGTTATCTGGTTCCTCAAATACATTGCATAGTATGTATACAATAAAGTAAATAAAATGGGTACCTTTAAGTTGCCATCAAGTTGATTCCAACGCATAGCAACCCTATAGGACAGAGTAGAACTGCCCCATAGGAGCGCCTGGTGGATTCAAACTGCCGACCTTTTGGCTGGCTACCTGAGCTCTTAACCACTTTGCCACCAGGGCTGCTAACCAAAATGTCAGCAGTTCAAATCCACCAGCTGCTCCCTGGAAACCCTATGGGGCAGCTCTATACCCTATAGTGTCGCTATGAGTTGTAATCAACTCAGTGGCACACAACAACCTTTAAGCTTTAAGTATCTATAAAGAGAGTGAGAAAGAAGACTCTCTAAGAAAGAATTTTATTGCTTCTTTTTTACTTCTGAAACATTCTATTCATTTGATTTAAAAAGTTACCTCAAAATACTTGAAAAGAACACGAGCAAGCGTCTCTCTGAAGTGGGAGGGACATAATACCGACTCGATAACCACAACTCGGCGGTCTCTGGGATTTACCAATAGATGCCTGAAAGTTTATAGTTCAGAAAAGTTACAAAACGCATTTTGGTAAATAATGCAATTTGATAAGAACAGAAAAACTGTACTATCTTATCTTAAGATGTTTTATGACAAAAAGACACCTTTATTATCCTTAAAAGATAACAATGTTCCTGACTTCTTACTATGTGCCATGCACTGTGCTAGGAACTTTACATCTATTAACTCATTTATCTCAGAAAACTACAACTACAGTTTACAACGATTACTAACCTGAACCACTAAAAAGCTGTTTTCTTTTTTTAAGTTACAAATGTAATATATGCTCACAAAACTGCAAATATTATAGAACTTTATAACGTGGAAAGTACAGGAAACCCTGGTGATGTAGTGGTTAACTACTACAACTGTTAACCAAGAGGTCAGCGGTTCAAATCCACCAGGTGCCCCTTCGAAACTCTATAGAGGCAGTTCTACTCTGTCCTATAGGGTCAAGTACCTTGTAATCCTACTACCCAGAAACTACCACTAATGTTGTTGTTAGGTGCCACTGAGTCAGTTCCGACTCATAGTGACCCTATGTACAACACAATAAAACAATGCTCAGTCCCGTGCCATCCTCGCAATCGTTATGCTTGAGCCCACTGCTGCAGCCACTGTGTCAATCCATCTCATTGAGCGTCTTCCTTTTTTTTCACTGATCCTCTACTTTAGCAAGCATGATGTCCTTCTCCAGGGACTGGTCCCTCCTGATAATACACCCAAAGTATGTGAAACGCAGTCTTGCCATCCTTGCTTCTAATGAGCATTCTGGCTGTACTTCTTCCAAGACAGATTTGTTTCTTCTTCTGACAGTCCATGGTATATTCAATATTCTTCATCAACACCATAAGTCAAAGACATCAATTCTTCTTATGTCTTCCTTATTCATTTTCCAGCTTTCACATGCATATGAGGCAACTGAAAACATCATGGCTTAGGTTAGGCACACCTTAGTTCTCCAAGTGACATCTTCGCTTTTCAACGCTTTAAAGAGATTCTTTGTGGCAGATTTGCCCAGTGCAATATGTCATTTGATTTCTTGACTGCTGCTTCCATGGGCGTTGATTGTGGATCCAAGTAAAATGAAATCCTTTACAACTCCAATATTTTCCCCATTTATCAGGATGTTGCTTACTGGTCCAGCTGTGAGGATTTTTGTTTTCTTTATGTTGAGGTGTAATCCATACTGAAGGCTGTGGTGGACCACTAATAGCAGTTTGTAAATGTTTTCATTTTTATAAATGTGTATCCATATATTTTAACAGAAATATTCACACCACAGATGTTGTTCTGCAACTTGTTTTAACTTAACATATGTAAGATACCTTTCCATATCAATACATACATAGAACTCTTTTTTTAATGGCTGCATAGTGTTCCACTGTAAGGATGTACAATAATTTAATTATCCAATCCCCTTTATTAATGAACATTTGGTTTATTTTCAGTATTTCCTTGTACTTGCCAGTTTTCTAGTCTTCTAAATATATTTTTTAAAAGGTTGAAAATAAGCAAGTAAAAATGGCAATGGAAGTCAACTTAATTTTTTTGCATCAGATGCAATATAACCAAGTATTACCATGACCTGCATTAGGAAAATCTACCTAATCACAAAAGCTAAAAGAAAGAAAGAAAAAAAAAACCATAATTGCATCTTACCTGAAATACAGTATGTGGATGAATTCCTTCAGGTAGGAATATAATTCTTCTGTATTGATATTATACTGAACAACTTTTATAGGCTATAAAATTTTAAATGATTTATATTAATAAACTCAAATTAAAATATGCTTATTATTTTACTAATACATTTTCTGTTAATAAATACAAAGGCAACTTGTACTGAGAATAAATGCAAAAATTAAATACAGATTAACATTTTAAATTAGGAATCCTTAATAACTGGCATGTCCAAGATGGTGGAATTATTTTGGTTTCTAGGAATAAAGGTATGTGTCTCTTAAGTAAGCAAAGAGCTGTGTTCATATGTGTTTTTCCTTCATCTGATTTTGGCATGACTGATGATAACACAGCTCTTTGTAGGCTTATGAGAAAACCCTGGTGGCACAGTGGTTAAGTGCTATGGCTGCTAACCAAAAGGTTGGCAATTCGAATCCACCAGATGCTCCTTGGAAACTCTATGGAGCACTTCTACTTTGTCCTATAGGGTCACTATGAGTTGGAATCGACTTGATGGCAAGACGTTTGGTTTGGTTTTATAGGCTTATAAAAGTATTTTACTAATGTTAAAATTTTGCTCTTGATAGTATATGATTCCATTTATATGAAACGTACAGAAAAGGCAACTCTATAAAAGAAAGCAGATCAGTGGTTGGCTGGGGCTAGAAATGGGGATTAACTGTAAGTGGGCATTAGGAATCTTACTGGGGTGATAAAAATGTTCTAAGATTAGATTGTGGAGATGTTCTCACAACTTGTTAAATTTACCAAAAATCATTGATATGTACACTTAAAACATGAATTTTACGATATGCAAAATGAGACCTCAACGAAGTTGTTAAAAAGCAAAAACCAAGCTTTTTCTTGGAAATAGAGCTGTAAGTTAAATATTCAACACTGTTCTAATCAATCTTATTTGAAGTCACATTTTAAAATATTTTACAATACAGCATTTATTTTGCTAATTTGTTTAAAAAAATACCTTAGGCATGCCAGCTCTTTTTATCACACTAGGAATTATACATCTTGGACCAGTTTCTCCAGCAAATCCACACCTGCAAATAATTGGAAAATTGAAACATTTTATTTACTTTAATATTCTAAATATTTGTTACAGAAGCAAGTTTTTCTGTATTTGTTTCAAAACAGTGGTCAGACAAACATCTGGAAACATCACTGAGGTACCAAAGGGAGAAAAAAACTAAGAAGTTAATACCATCTACTCATAATTGAGGAGCCCTGGTGGTGCAGCAATTAAGCGTTTGGCTGCTACCCACATCAGCTCTTCCTTGGAAACCCTATGGGGAAGTTTTACTCTGTCCTATAGGGTTGTCATGAGTTGGTATCGACTCAACAGCAACAGGTATTCGTAATTATGTACTGAAGGAAAAAAAAGTTAAATTGCTTCAAATTAATGATATTGAAATAAACTAGTGTATTATTTTAGGGCAGCATCTACTTCTTTCAGTATTTAATTTTACCTGAATTTCAGGCAACGTATTTCTATAACCCTGGATCTATACCATATTATGTGACTTCATTCACATACTTTCTACCCAGTGGTTTAGGTTTCTACATATTCTTTTCTTTGTACAGTATAGTTGGCTATTGCTGTTTTTGTTGGTTGCCATCAAGCTGATGCTGACTTATGGTGACCCCATGCTTCTCTGAGTAGAACTGTGCTCCACAGGGTTCTCAATGACTGATTTTCTGAAAGCAGATTGCCATGTCTTTCTTCCGAGGATCCTTTCGGTGGACTCAAACTGCCAACCTTTTAGTTAGCAGCTGAGCCCATTAATTGCACCAGTGCCCCTCACTATGCAATGACTGGTCAGCTTCGATTCCTTTCTTTGACTTCATTTATTCATCTTATCACCCTCCTGCTGTCTTTCTCAATAATCATCTTCCTGGCTAATAGCTTCCTGCTTTTCTCAATGTATAATCAAAATAATTATCTTTAGATGATAGCCTCAAAGTATTATGCTATTAAAAAATAAATAAAAATTAACAAGACCCTTGCACAGAATAAGAAAGTGTCATAAGCTAAGGGCTACGTTTAATGCAATTCTGGGGCACCTGCTGTCCAATTTTTAAATAGGCTGTTTTGACCAGCCTATTAAAAAATTGGATAGCTATTTATTCAATAAATGTTCAGTAATATTTTATTCAATAAATAGCTATTAAGTACCTACTATACCTTAGTAAAGTCTCTGGGTGGCACAAATGGTTTACGCTGGACCACTAACAAAGGTTGATGGTTTGAACCCACCTAGTGGCACCAAGGAAGAAAAAGGCCTAGTGATCTGCTGCCATAAAGACGACAGCCAAGCAAACCCTATGGAGCAGTCCTACTCTGTAACACATGGGGTTGCCATGATTCAAAATCGACTGGATGACAACGATGACGTTAGACGGTATTTTTCAAATGCAACTCTGCCTGTTATTTTCCTCTCTTCTGAGCCCAGTCAAGAGCTCTTAACCTGGGGTCCAAGGACCAGTGATGTCCTTGGACATCCCCCTGAAATTGTGTGCAGATATTTTAAGTTATGTGAATCTGTTACTTTCATCTGGTCCTCAAAGGGATCTGTGACATCCAAAAGATTGAGAACCACTACTGCAGTGTTCATAAGCTGCCCCTTAAAACATGTTTTAAATCTTCTAAGAGTTTAGGGAAGCTAACAAAAGATCTCTAGAGTCTTATCTATAGAGTTTCACCTCTTTGTTTGTGTGTTTAGTCTCCCTAACTTGACTGCCTGCTCTTGGAGAGAAACCGGCGTGTTCTAAACATGTTTGTACTGCCAGCACCAACAGAAGCTCCGTTCGATGTTTAAAGATGGTGATCGTCAATAAGCGTCACAACCCGGGTTGCTGCCTGCCTTAATCTGCCGAGCCCAGGATAAGCCGGCTCTAGGCCATCGCTATCATCCCCTGCACCGATGATCGTAAAGGGTCTGTTCAGTTTGGGGGCCAGTGCGGGGCGGCGTGAAGGCAATTCTCCTGAAGCCTCCAAGGCCCCTCTGCGAGTCAAACCTTGCCCGCCCACCTGATCCTCGGCATTCACATCGCCCTGAGAGGAAATAATAAAGACTGTCATTTGCGGAGGGTGTTGGGGGAGGAGGTGAGGTGGCCGCGAGCTGCCCTGCAAGCCTGGAATGGGGGCCCGGGCCGGGCCTGGGGCTCGGTCCCCTTAGGCCGACTGCAGCCAGCGCCGCGTCACTCACTTGGTAAAGGCCTCTCCCAGGTCTATCACTATTGCCGTTTTCTCCCCGCCGCTCCCAAGGCCCTCGTACAGCGGCATGCTGGGACGGAGGAAGGTGATACGGACGCAGACCCCAGAATGGACAGGCCTCTGCTCTCGTTGGGGGCGGGACCGGGGCTCCGGCGCGCTGGGGGTGTCGGGGGCCTCGCGCGGCCACGGCGCGCATGGCTGGGGCTGTCCCAGGCTGTGCCTCCTTCTGCGTTGGACCCAAATCCTCGCCGGCGCTCCCGTCGTGGGACCTAGGGAGGGAGTGACGCTAGCAGTTGCTGATGTGGGTGCGCAGGCCGCGGAGGGCAGAAGAGAAAGTGATCAGGCGCGCGGGGCACTCGATTGGGCGGTGCCGGCTTCCCACCGGGGTCCTTTCGCCGGGGTCGCCATCTAGAGGCGTCCGGTCTCGAATTCTAATCCTGCGGGCATTTGAAGTGTTTGGCTCTTCCTTCTCGGAGTGGCCGCTGAAGAAAGAAATACATTCAAAAGCTTTTATTTGGGGGAACGTTAGGGTAACATTTACTGAGCCTCTACTCTGCCATTGGCTTTGCCTGTTATTTAATCTTCGCAAGAAATACCGAGGATAAATGTTATCTTCTTACATATGTGGAAACCGAAACTCATAGGGATTAAGTAATTTTCCCAGCGCCCCACAGCGGAGACAGGATTGGACCCTAGGACTTTATGATTTCAAAGCCTGTATTACTAATGCTGCTCAAGGACAGAGATTCATATGTACCAAAACCAAACCAAACCTTCAAGTAGATTTCGACTCATAGTGACTTCGAGTAGATTTCGACTCAAAGCGACCCTATAGGACACGGTAGAACTGCCCCCACAGGGTTTCCAAGGAGCGTCTGGTAGATTCAAACTGCGGACCTTTCGATTAGCAGCCATAGCTCTTAACTACTAGACCACCAGGGTTTCCCTAGTATGTACAAACAACTTTATTTGGTAGTTGTTCTGAAAGTTTTGATTTTAGTCCAAAAGAAAGCAATTAAAATAGCATCTACTATTTTTCTATTCCTGGAAGAGTAGTCAGGGTGGTTTAGTGGAAGGAACATTGAACCAAGGGTTCCTGTTCACTCTGAAACTGAGGGGCTGTGTAATGCCAGAAAAGTTCCTAAACCTGTCTGTGCTAGTATGCACACACAATAGGAATTCTGTAATAACTGGAATTTTTTACAACTTTATCATTTCACAGCTCTATTTTATTTCTGCTGAAGTTGTTCATGAAAACTGCAGTTAGTGGGGTAGGTTGCTGCCTTGTCCCCATAACTATAGGAAAAGGAATGACCAGTTTTCCCCCAGTATATCTTTTTAACCTTCTGTAGATGCCTGAACCTCTTAGAATGATGAAGTCTTTCCATAATAAGCGGTAAGGCTGTACAGTGCAGAAGCTTGGACAATGTGATGTTAGTAAAATTCACATTCAAGTCTGAATGATGATCTTCTTGAAAACAAGTTGTGGGAAGTAAAAGGATGAAGTTGGAGATGTGATGGGGAAGGATATTTCAAGAAGAGTGGGAGAAGATGAAGCATGTGGCTTAGTTGGGTCAGAGTATTTGAACAGGAATCCTCATTTGGGTTCAAATTCGGTTTCTGCCACTTTCTGTCAAGTCCCTAATACCTTCAATCATCTGATTTCTAATCTGCAAACTGTCTTGCTACTCTACAAGGTACGTGTGAGGACCAGTTGAGATTATATTTGTGAAAGTATTTTGAGAACTTAAGTTACTAGTCCCTATCCTGTATTTTCCATTATGTCTTAGCAGCTAAATGTTGCTGTTGTCTATGATTCTTCCCTTGAACCTTTCCTCATCTTACTATACACCCTTTGCTTTGACAGTATTCTCCACTCCAGTCCATACAGTTAGAGCTAATATTTGTTGAGTTCTATTTGCTAACTCTTTGCCGTGTATAATCCCATTTATTCCTCACAACAACTTTATAAGTATTATCTCCATTTTACAAATGCAGAAACTGAGGCATAGAGAGGTCTCTCAGCTGGTAAGTGGTAGGGCAGAAAATCCAACCCAGATGATCTGGCTGTTTGACTCCAGAGCCCAAACTACATTGCTTAATTATAGTTTTGCATTAATTCAAAGAATTGTTAGTTTATCACAGAACTGTAGAGTCTTAGAATCTGAACAGATAACGAGAAGTTTTCAAGTCTAAACTCCAGCCTAACATAAAACTTTCTTGTCCTTCTCCTCAAATAGTTCCAGTGATGACAGAGGGCTTATGACTAGTTGGGATCTCTGAGACTGAAGATGTGTTTGATACATTTAGGGGTAGAAAAAACAGAAGAGGAAGTGATATAAGGATAAAAATCAGTTTTCCAGTCTGAAGCTACAGGGAGGGCATTCCAGGGTGAGATAACCATGAATTTATAGACTAGAGGCATAAGGTTATGCTTTCAAGTAGCAAGAAGTAATGGGACCAAATCATTAAGCACCTTACCAATGTGCTAGGGAGTTTGGACTTTATCCTGCGGGTATTGGTAACCATACACAATGTTTTAAGTAAGAGAGAGACAATGTCATGTTTGTATTCAGTTTGGTCTCTCTATTGAAGTGAGGTAGACCAGGATGCAATGGAGGAGACTGAGACTAGTGGTGAAAAGCCAATTTGCAAGCTATTGCAAGAGTCCATGAGAGAAATGATGACCACCTGAACTAAAACAATGGCATGGCAAGGAGAGGAAAAGATTTTAAAGAAATTTGAAAGAGGTCCTAATGAAGACAAAATACAGACTTTTTAGACATACAAAAGCTGGAAAAAAAGTCAGCAGCAGACCTGGCTTATAAGAAATGTTAAAGGAAGTTCATCAGGTAGAAGACGATAATAGTGACCAGTAATCTGAATATACACAAAGGAATGAAGAACTTCAGAAATGGTAAGTATGTTGATAAGTGTAAAAAAAAATTTTCTTGTTATTTAAATCTCTTTGGAAGATAATTGACTTTAAACAAAAATAATACAATGCATTGTGGGGTTTATAACATGTAGAAGTAAAATGTATGACAATTAAGCGCACAGGCTGAGAGGGGAGAAATAGGAGCATACTGTTGTAAGTTACAATTCAGTAGAAAATAGCTAGTGCTGGAATAATTGGACATAATATGCAAAAAAAAAAAAAGCAAAACTCATTAGCCTTCACCGTATTAGGAATGGATCAAATGGATCATGAACCTAAATTTAAAACCTTAAAGTATAAATTATAAAACATTCAGAAGAAAACAGGAGAAAATCTTTGTCACTTTGGGTTAAGCAAAGACTTCTTAGAGAAGACATCAAAAGCACAATTTCATTTTAAAATGAAGAACATCTCAAAAGATAGTGTTAAGAGTATGAAAAGATAAACTACAGACTGGAAGAAAATATTTGCAAGTCACATATCTGATATTGATATCAAGACTAGTATCCAGATTATATAAAGAATTCTTAAAATTCAACAATAAGAAAACAAACAATCCAATAAAAATGAACAAAAGATTTGAACACACACTTCAACAAAGAAGGTACCAGAATAGAAAATATACACATCAAAAGAAGCTCAATATCAATTGACATTAGGGAAATTAAAATTAAACCCACAATGAGATATTGCTACATATCTATTAGAGTGTCTATATTAAAAAAGACTGACCACACCAAGTTTTAAAAGGTTGAGAAACAGTGTTCAGGGGTGACTCCAGATTATTCATCAGTAGTCATTGGATGAGGTTACTTAATAAGTTGCAGACCCAGCCCGCATTTCTCCCTTTTGTTTTTAAGGATACCATGGTAAACTTTGGGGAGGATATGGAGCAACTAGAACTCTCATACACTGCTGGTAGAAATGTAAAGGGATACTACTATTTTGTAAAAAAGCATGGCAGTTTTTAAAAAAGCTGAATGTACACCTATCTTATGACTCAGCCATTCTACTCTTACGTATTCACTCAAGAGAAATGAAAGCATATGTCCATACATTAACTTGTACACAAATGTGCATAGCCACTTTATTTGTAATAACCTAAAACAGGAAAATAACACAAATACTCATCAAGTGGTGAATGGAGAAACTAGTTGTGATACAAACATATAGTGGAATGCTGTTCTTCAATAAATAGGTATAAATTAGTTATACATGCAACAACATTGATGAATCAAATAATTACGCTGAGTAAAAGAAGCCATACCAAAAAAGAGTACATATCCTATGATTCCATATATATAATATTTAGGAAATACAAATTCATCTAGAGTGATAAGAGTCAGATCAGTGATTGCCTATGGGTGGGGAGAGGGTAGGTACATGGAGGAGCTGGAGGGAGGTATTACAAAGGGATGTGAGAAACTTTTGTTAGGTGATAGACTTATTATCATGACTGTGAAGATGCTTTCACAAGTATATACATGTTAAAACTTACCAATTTTGCATTTTCAGTATGTACAGTTTATAATGTTTCAGTTATATCTCAGTAAAGCTATAAATATGTCTGTCAGTTTGTCATACTGTGGTGGCTTGCGTGTTGCTGTGTTAGTGGAAGCTTTGCCACCTGTATTTAAATACCAGCGGGGTCACCCGTGGTGGACAGGTTTCAGCTGATCTTCCAGAGTAAGACAGACTAGGAAGAAGGACCTGGCAGTCTACTTCTGAAAAACTGGCTAGTGAAAACCTTATAACTAGCAGCATAACATTTTGTCTGATATAGTGCCAGAAGATGAGCCCCTCAGGTTGGAAGGCACTCAAATACGACTGGGGAGAAGGTGACTCCTCAAAAGGAATATACCGAGTCACTGTTCCAAAAAGAATTGGTCGACGTTCAGCCATTTCAGGAGGTAGCATACGATCAAGAACCCATGGTACTGAAAGAAGAGGTCCAAGCTGCACTGAAGGCATTGGCAAAAAACAAGGCTCCAGGAACTGACTGAATAGCGATTAAGATGTTTCAACAAACAGATGCAGCTCTGGAAGCGCTCACTTGTCTATGCCAAGAAATTTGGAAGACAGCTACCTGGCCAACGGACTGAACGAGATCCATATTTGTACCCATTCCAAAGAAAGGAGATTCAACAGAATGCAGAAATTATCAAACAATATCGTTAATATCACATACAAGTAAA